GGTGAAAGAAACATTTTGCCCACTTGTCTCCACCTCCACCGGGGATCGAACCCGGAACCTCAGGACTACGAATCCGAAGCGTTGTCCACCTAACTGTCAGGCGCCTATGCAAACACATATATTATATTAATAATTTGATTATGTCTATACTGTATAGCAAAAGGCATGAAATTAATTTAATATTATTAGAACTTCAGAAATATTAAAGGCAAGTAAAGATGCCGATTCTCATAAAGCATTCTAAGAAGAACAGATAATAAAGGAAACAAAGAGATAATCAAAATAACACTGTATTGTATGTTTTACTGTGGTAGAAAAGTTTAAATTAATAAAGGTCACTTAGAATGGTTGAAGAGAACACAGAGGCAAAATTTTACAAATTATCTAGTCTCATCTTCACGTTTCTCTACATTTTTCATTGGAATGATAATGTAATAAAGAATGAGCCAGAGTGAGAGAATATATGAGCAAGAATGAAAGGTTTTATGAGCAAGAGTGAAGGGATTTATGAGCAAGAGTGAGGGGATATATGAGCAAGAGCGAGGGGGATATATGAGCAAGAGTGAGGGGGATATATGCGCAAGAGTGAAGGGTTATATGAGCAAGATTGAAGGAATATGAGAAAGAGTGAGGAGGAATATGAGAGTGAGGAGTGAGAATATATAACAAAGAGTGAGAGGATATATGAGCAAGAGTATGGGGGAAATACAAGCAAGAGTGAGGGATATATGAGCAAGAGGGAGGGAATTGTCAGGGGAAAGTGCCAAGCCATTATGACTATATAGCCCTTGGGGGGGGAAAGCACTTGGAATACAAGCAAGAGTGAAAGGATATATGAGTAAGAATGAGGGGATATATGAGCAAGAGTAAGGGAGTATATGAGCAAGAGTAAGGGAGTATATGAGCAAGAGTAAGGGAGTATATGAGCAAGAGTAAGGGAGTATATGAGCAAGAATGAGGGGTATATGAGCAAGAATGAGGGGCATATGGGCATATGAATATCACTAAGTAATCTTCACATCCATGTATATATTGGAAAGGCATTTGCTAAAGAGTTTCCAAACTGTAAGATAAACTATATTAACTATTTTCATTAGTCATATGCAACATGTCATAAACTTTCAGGTACAAATATGACTGGTCTACACTTTTAAATTTTGTTGTTGGTCATTCATAGTACAGTAACTATCAATGTAATAGAATTCTCACATGTGTAGATACAGTGCTACAGTTAGTCTGTTTTCTGGGCTTCATTCTTATTAATGTGTAGCTCAGCTTTCTTGTGTACAAAGTTTGTCATGTATTGAGGTTTTAGAAAAGTAAAATTTTGGGTGTTAAGACTTGCAGTACAATTATTTTCTTTGTAAGCCAATGAAGAAAATACTGAAAGTTCAGTACTATACTGCATAGGTAATATTTGAGTAATATTCATGGAACAGCAAAAATTGTATAATCACTCTTTATTTGTCCTGATAGATTTAATAATATTGCTCACTAATTTTAGTGTATGTTACTCATTTTATATAACTGATATACTGTAGTTCTATTTTCAAGGCTTTTAGCTGTTTTGTAGATAAATAGGAATTTGTCTTTTATGATGTTGAGCTGATCATCTAAAGAAAGTTGATACTTTATACAGTATTTGATTTATAAGAAGTGCCTCATGTTCCCTAACCATGACTATATTCCATGTCATAATTTACAAGAACTTACTTTAGTCATTCCACTGTTTGACAAATCATTTCATAAGTACCTATTAATGCTGCGAACATTCAACATACAGTAGTGTACAATATACTGTATGAGAAAAGCAACATGTCTCCCTGGATAAAATCAAACATTAAGACTGTGTGCATAGTATTTTTATTTTTATTTTGTTCCAAAATTGTATTTTTGCCATAGGAATTTGTGCATATGTATATTGCAGTTATTGACATGTTTGTAATTAAAATTTGTGTGCATATACATGTGTGGTATACAGTACATACATATGCACACATTACAGTACTTGATTTTAAATGTGCACTAATGCATGAGTCTTGTTGTCTTTTTATTAAATGTTTATATAAATTTATTACTTATAAAGTTTGTAGTGGTCTGATAGTATGCTTGTTTTCGTTAATTAAGCTGGGGTGTTGTTTCGTTCAAGATGGGATTTTGTCATTTTTTCAAGCTTGGGTTTTGTCATTTTGTTATGTTGTACTTAATTTTTTCAATATCATTGGTTTAAAGCTTTCTTTGCAAATACAGTATGTGGTATTTCTAAAGACAAAAATAAAATGTAATTAATGTACAGTGAATTTTATTATGTATAACAAGCATATAAAAATGGTACATGCAGCACAATCTAGACTCTAGAGCATGTAGGTTAATAAAGAGTTCTGGTTCTTTAACTGCCTCCAAGCTAATATTTTTTGTATGGAATAAGAAAAGTGTTTCTTTTGGAAGATCTCAAATATGTAAAAATGTTGTAAGCAATAGAAGAATGAAACAGAGCACAATCATATGATAAGATGCTATTTAAAAACCATCCAAGCCTGATTTAGTTGGTGGAATCCTTGTATGCAAGAAGCATACAAACTACTTTTCATCAGGACAAATTGGGAACCTCTTACACCACTGGCTTCCTGACCCTATATAAGCCACTAGTGAGATGGAGGCCCTCAGGTAAATTCAGAAGCATGGATATCATTCTTCAGTAATATCTAGCACTGATGAAATGAGTCCAAGTCTCATTTGGACCACAATGCAATTTTAGTCAGCATACTGCAGAATGGACATAGACTGAAAGATAATACAGAAAGGATGAAAAACCTGGTACCTGTTATAGATCAATCCTAGTATGAATAACTAAATAAAATACAGTATCTACAATAACAGTGAAACATTTGGAATAATTACAAAATTCCATTCTTATACGATGCAAATCCATTCTTATGTATGCAAATTACATGTACACAAATCATGTAAGACACATTTTAATTGGTTGGACAGAATTGGTTGGCACATTTCCTTTCACCTAATACATCTGTTCACCTAGCAGTAAGTGACTCCCGACTAACTCAGGAGTTAGCTTGTTGTGGTCCAGTATCCTGGGCGGGGTCAGTAATTTGACCTGATGGGGGGGGGAGACTCGATATGAGCCTAACGTGTATTAATACACTGTGGCTTCCTGTCCCGACACAATGAATTATTATTTTTTATACCTTATTCCCATTTTTATTTTTTATTTCCCTTAATTCTAACGTTTCCCATACTTTACCTTAATTCTTACCCATCATCTCGCTCTCTTACATTCCTCTCCCTCTCTTACCTTATGCAAAAAAAAATAATAAAGGTGAGCCACTTGGCGCAGTAGCACTATGACAACCTTCTATTTAAAGTAATTCATGTCCGCGCCACCAAGGGAAGGCACCCAGAAGGTCAGCATAAGAATACAGACAACTGATTGGTTAGCCACCTTACAAACACCTTCACAACACCCAGAAGAACTCGTCACCACTGCAAACAAACGAGGGAAATTTTCGTGAAAATTGGGGGTAAGTGCATTTATTGTTATAACCTTAGTTGTTTATGCTTAGTGCAAGGCACTAAGCATAAACCAGTCTCCATATACCAGTCTCTTTTTTTACTTTGGTCTACCTCATCGTTAGTGTACTTTACTTACGATCAATCACCTGGGTAATTAACCCGTGACAGTTTCTGCACCTATAAATTTTGGTGCCTACTTACTGCCTTGGAGTAACTGGCTAATTGCCTGTTGTATAGTTTCTCATTACTTGTTTGATATTGTACGTCACAGTCAAGCGAATGATCTGTTGAATCTAAGTTGAAATCTTAATGGGTTTGTAACTGTGCACTGTGTTAGATAATGTTCCAGTGGTCTGTCTGGCATTTCTCCAGTGTTGACATTTCCTCTCATCTTCCGGAACCTGTAAGCCTATTTCCCATGCACATGGGTATCCAAGCCTGATGCGATGTAAGTGCACTTCTGTTGCTCTACTGCTCTCTTTCATCAAACTAAGTGGTTCGTAGTTGGTTGAATTCTTGTACCAACCCGCAGATCCTAATGTTGCAACTGCTGTGTTGTGGTCACTGTACATCTTTTGCATTGCTCTGTTTCTAATTACTTTCTTAATCTGTGATAGACTCTGTGGTATGTAAATGTCTACATTTCTTCTCTTAGTTGCAAGTTTTGCAGCTTCGTCTGCAATGTCATTTCCTATTATTCCCACATGACTTGGCACCCAGTTGATAAGTACCCGTCGGCCTTGTCGTTTGAGTGTTTGCATTAATATGACATTTGTGATCAGATGTATGTTATTATAATTGCCACTGAAAACCACGACAATGTAAAGTTACACTGATTAATTGCCAATGAACTATTTGGCACTGTTCTATGCACGATGCTTTCAACAGCTCCTCAGTCCATGTTTGACTACCCATCCTGATAGATATATATTAGAAGAGCATATAGATGACTCTCAATAAGTTACAGCTGCGCTCCTGTGCCAGGTAAGTTCACAACGGGCTCACCATAGCCCGTGCTGCTTGGAGCTTTTTGCAACCAAATTCATAAGAATGTGCGTGCAGAGAACACATGATGAGGGGACAATTGTAGATGTGAGATGTAACAACTGCAGATGTTGACAATTGGGGGTGTGAGTTTTCAGTTGAATATTGTCCTGGGGACCATTCAGGCTTGTTGGCATGTATGTGTATGTATATATGTATACGTATGTATATGTAAATGTATGCATGAGTATGTGTACATGTATATATAACATTAATAGTTTTGTAACTAGCGTCAAAAGATTGTTATTTGCTTAGCTAAACGAACTAGAGGGTTCAGTTCCTGAACCGATTATGTGCCTCTATAATATAATCCTTTACACCGCCGCTCACGGGATGGGTATGGGGTGCATAATAAAGAAAGAAATTGAATTGGTGAAAAATATCAAATGAAACAAAATAAATATCGTTTTCTTGTGGAACACAACAGCAGGATCTCCATAACGAAGGTGAGCCCAGAGGCTGCCAGGCCCAGGACAAGCAACATGAAGGCTCCCTGAAGGTGTATGATGGTCAAAGATTGGATGGTGCTCTTCGAGTCTGTCTCTTCGTTTTCTTGTGTCCGTTGCTGCTCTCGTTGCTGTTGTTTTCTGGTGCGGCTATCCATCTGGGCTTGGATTAGTAAGTCCTTGCTCCATTTCTCGTAAAGTCCTGCCTGTTAAATACACCAGATGTGGTCACATGTGACATGAATAATTCAGTTATAACTGAAATAGCAAGTGTTGCGAGGACTTATAGTAACTATTGGTTGAACCTACACAAATGAAATATGTAAGATACGTGAATTTAGAGACAATTCTATAACCAATGTTCCAGCGATGTGTCAATATTTCATTCAAAATGATCTGCTACCAGAAATTTTAGCCAAATATCCCCAGTTTGCTAACTGTAGGTAGTAACTAAGTGATTGTAACCTATCCACCGCTGCCCACTGGATGGGGGGCGGTGTGCAGGACAAACATATAAATTTTGACACTAGCTCTCCACATATGTCAGTTGCTTAATTTAGAACCTGTACTTGAGGTCGATCTCGAACCCATTGTTGATGTGATGACTTATATTGAATTTTGTAACTAGCTCATCAAGATTGTAACTTGCTTAGCTAAATGAATTGTGGGGTTCAGTCCCTGAGCCCATTATGTGCCTCTGTAACCCTTTCCACTACCGCCCACAAGATGGGTATGGGGTGCATAATAAATGAACTAAACTAACTGTTAAGTGTATTGCCAAAAGTTCACGTTTTTTACTATTGGAATAATCCAAATGGCATCCCAAAAACTGGAACGGTAACTATACAACCTGATATAGACTGCCCAAGGCCTAAATAACCAATCCTAGGCCAAATATAAGCCACCTTAGGCTCGATTTAGGACATACAGCGTGATGGATATCCCACGCTCTCTGTACAATGCCTCTCGCATATGGCTCCTTCCCCCCTTCTCTCTTAAAACCATCCCATAAGCAGGCAAACCAAAAACTGACTCCCAAACTTACATAACAAACCTACTAGACATTAACAATAATAATAATATTGAGAAAATCCACAGGAGCCGTTATCTTGAGATGATTTCGGGGCTTTGTGTCCCCGCGGCCCGGTCCTCGACCAAGCCTCCACCACCAGGAAGCAGCCCGTGACAGCTGACTAACTCCCAGGTACCTATTTACTGCTAGGTAACAGGAGCATCAGGGTGAAAGAAACTGTCCTTTGTTTCTCGCCGGCGCCCGGGATCGAATCCAGGACCACAGGATCACGTGTACAGTGTCCTGGCCGCTCAGCCACCGGCTGCGTGATGAGGAATCGAACCTATGCGGTGGGTAGTACCACACGCACATTCCAGACATTCAGGCCACGACATGGTAAAAGGAGTGAAACCTGGAGGGCTGAACACACGAGGGTTTTCTGAAGCTTCCACTGAAACCGGGCCAGGAATTTCACACAATATTCCCCCCCCCCCCCCTTTCACTCTGGCTGTAATCTGAATGTTCTACCTCTGACGCTCCTCTTTCAATACACGGAGAGTAATCACACTAACGTGACTGCACCAATGAGAAAACCCTCGTGTGTTCAGTAGAACTCCAGGTTGCAATCCGTTTACCATGTCATGGCCTGAATGTATGCATGGGGCGTGTGCGTGGGACTACCCACCATATAGGATCGAATCCTCATCACGGCTCCTACAGATTTTCTCATTGATGCAGAGCGTGATTACTCTCTGAATAATAATATTATAATAAATAATAATATAATATTATTATTAATAATAATAGTAATAATTGAATTCATAAGAATGTGCGTGCAGAGAACACATGATGAGGGGACAATTGTAGACACATGAATTACACACACCTGAATTTACCTGAAGGTCACTAACACTCTAGTGGCTTCGACAAGGACAGGAAGTCGGTGGCTTGTCAAAGGTACTTCCATTTGCCCTGATTATTTTTTACAAATTGATTTTAAAATTTAACCGAGTTTTGGCATTTACGGCTTTGGCGGGTAGGCGGTTCCATGGGTTTATAACAGTTAAAAGTATCTTCTGTTATCAATCCTACAAAAAGCTTGAAACCGTTGCTCCTTGTTCGTGTTACATCTGACTTTTTGAAGAAATTTCCCGGATCAACATCCTCCAAATTGTTCAGTATTTTAAAAGTTTCAATGAGATCTGCCTTCATGCCTGGTTTGTAGTGTTGTTAGCACTGTGGCCCTCAACCGTTCATAATACAAGAGTCGACTTAGCTTTGGAATGATTTTTGTTGCCCGGTGTTGCACTTTCTCCAGAGCAGCTATGCGTCTTTCTGAAGATGTCTCCATTCCTGGATGCAATAATCCAGGTGGGGGTGCACCAGAGACATATATTTGAATGACTACCTTCCTTTCCTTATAGGTAAAGGTACACTTGATTATGAACCAGTTGATAACCCTCAAATTTTACCCTAATGCACCTACAAATCTTTGTCATTATTATGAATTGTCATTATTGTGTATTAATCTAATCTTTGTAAACATTTTCTGTCAATTTTACTGAAAATTACCTACTTAAAATTATCCGTTAGATTAAGGACCTGCCCGAAACATGTGTAAGTACTTCATTCATAATGATGTGCTGCCCGAAATCTTAGCGAAGTATCCAAAATTTGCTTACTGTAGGTAATGCATACACATGACTGTAAAGCTGCTGCCCAGTTGGGTGGGTGTGGAGCACATGACTGTAAAACTGCTGCCCAGTTGGGTGGGTGTGGAGCACATGACTGTAAAGCTGCTGCCCAGTTGGGTGGGTGTGGAGCAAGACTAGTAACTGTGTGACTCAAAATAGATGTAAAGTGCCCTGTTGTGAGCCTCTTGTTGATCACTTGTGACACAAAAGATTATTGATGCTATATTTGTGTGGGTGATTAGATATGTATGTGTATGTATATATGTATACGTATATATATACATACATGTATATATGAGAGTGTGTACATGTATATATAACATCAATAATTTTGTAACTAGCGTCAAAAATTGTTATTTGCTTAGCTAAACGAACTAGAGGGTTCAGTTCCTGAACCGATTATGTGCCTCTGTAATCCTTTACACCACCGCCCATGGGATGGGTATGGGGTGCATAATAAAGAAAGAAATTGAATACCACCTCCACTTATGCAACTTTCATTGAATTATAGATTCTGACTCCAAGATCCTTTTCTTCACTAATCTGCTTCAAGGTAACGCTCTTAATTTGGTATTTGTGACGTAAATTGTTTTGCCCCCCACATGCAAAGTCTTGCATTTATCGATATTAATAAGCATTTGCCAATAAATAAATAAATATATATTATATATATATATATATATATATATATATATATATATATATATATATATATATATATATATATATATATATATATATATATATATATATATATATATATATATATATATATATATATATATATATATATATATATATATATATATATATGTATATATATAATACGGTAAATATTTTCCATGGGATAATAAAGAAAGAAATTGAATTGACGTGGTTGAGCCAGGCGTTCACTGGTCCTCCATTACTCACGGGCCGCCACCACGGTAACACAACCAGCCGGGCAAGGTAAGAATTATATCGTCAAACATCCAGTCTCTCTGACTTTATGTAGCTTTAACACTTGAATATATTGTGCATTACTCTGTGCGGAAGGCATCTAAAGTAAGGTAACTAGGAAATACGCGCGTATCGAGAGTACAATTTAAGTATTTGTTACCAGACTATGGAAGGTCTGGCGGCTCCACCATGTGGATATGGAGTTGGTTGTAGGACTTGGCCAAGTCATATATCTACGTCACTGCCAATCTTATTGAACAAAACTAACCTAACTTTCAGGGATAATTTTTTGGGTTTTATGATTTGCGCATGATATGACTGATATAATAACCGGCAGATTTAGAGGATTATGGTAAAATTGTTAAATAACTATTAGAATAGGATGTATTAGTTTGGGCTAGTCAGAGCTTGGGCTGGGGCTTGGGCTGGGCTTGGGCTGGGCTTGGGCTCTGCTGGGTCTGGGCTTGGTTGGAGTTGGGGCTGGGGCTTGGGCTGGGCTTGGGCTCTGCTGGGGCTGGGCTTGGTTGGGGCTGGGGCTCTGCTTGACAGGGCTTGGGGGCTGGTTTGGGCCTGGTTTAAAGTTGTGTACAATAGGACATGTCCCTGTTTTGGATAGTTCTATAATCTTTAGTTAACACTTTCGCGCTATCTGGACGCGCCGGCGCGTTCGGTTTCGTCTAACGTAAACGCATAGTGGACATAAAGTTATGTCAACTTTTAAAATATTTGTATAAAATTCAATTTTTATCCGATTTACTTTGGGTTTGTTTCAAACTGCGCGCTATGAGGCTCTCTTTCTCACCACTAGGCTGCATGGTACAATAAGTTCATGAAAGGTGTGGATAACGTCGATCAAATGGTATTTTGTCCCAAACGGGTTGCAGGTGGGTGACTTTAGCCGTTTATACTGGTAATTCTTCCCCCATATCATGTATTATATGCATATGTCTGTTTAGGGAATTTTATTCCGATCAATATACAACCAAAAATAACTGTGTGCAACAAGTATAATCTTGACAAACATAACAAAAGTAAAAATATTTCGTGTGTGTTTGACGCTCACTGATATGTTCCAGCGTTGTTTTATATTTGTCGCTATTCTAACTTACGCTTTGTTGATATTTTTTACCTATGGGCACATAGAACATTCTATTGCGAATACATTGACATGAAAATGAATGACGTACATAGAAAATTAATGTCATGAGAGTGAAATAAGTATAAACTTTCAAAGCGCTGTGCGTCGTCCCGTCACCGATACCGGGTAACAATTTCACCACTTCCCACACTCTTGCGGGCGGGCTGCATCAATATTCAACGCTTATATTCATATCACCGTGTTGGGAATTTCATTGCGAGTCCATTGATACCAAAATTAACGCTGTAGAACAAGTGTGGAGGTGATTATAATCCCAAGAGTAAAAACATTTTGTTGCTGATGGGCGCTCACGGCGAGTCATCTACGTAGTTATTTATTTGGTGCTGGTATCCCTATATGTTTCGTGACTTATTTTACTAATGTTCTTCTAGAGAATTTTATTGCAAACACGTTGGTGCCAAAATGAAATACGTAGCATGAGAACTAAGGTCAGGAGAGTAAAAAGAGTATACACATTTTTGTTTTTACGCTTAAGCGATAAAAACGCAGCGCGCACATTCGGTTGGCTGAGTGACCTTTGCGGAGAGCGCGAAAGTGTTAATATGCATCAAAGAATTTGTATAAAGTTACAGCATTCATGAGCTAGTTAAATTATGGTCTTCATATTTGACCACAGGAACTATCCTATGCTTTGGTGGAAGCTTAAGACATCACAATATGGGTCAAGTACAGTACTGAACTCTTGAGTTCAAGTTGAAGTTTACATGTATGTCAATCTGTGTACATATAAATTTCATACATACCTTGCACCCATGAAGATTACAGCAAGGTTACTAGAGGTTAATTTAATTTATGCACCCCATACCCATACTGTAGTGGTAAAAGTTAAGAGGCATGTAATGGGTGTGGGGACTGGGAAAAAGATTTTTCTGTTTAAGTGTATATATATTGTTAGGTTAGGATGTAGTGACCATAGACTTAGGCTGTTGGACTCTTTAAAATCCATTAGTGAACTGTCTTTTGTACGATGCGACTTTCCTGGTTACAATCACATGGGTGTACTTTCTGTAGTAGGCAAACGTTGAATAAAGTACTCTGAACTGCCTTAGTTATATAGTAATACAATGTAGGGATTCTTGGATAAGTGATTTGATACCATTGATTCTGGAAAAATTATCATTGATAATTCTGGAAGATTGGTCTTGTAGATTGAAGTTTACCATGAAGAAATACATTAGTATTTCAGAGTAAATTAAATACTAAAATTAATACTCTGTATTAAAATACAGAGTATTTTAAGTGCTATATGATCTGTAATATATTTAATTTAGTGCAGTATGATAACCTGTTTCTAATTGCAAATTCTCAATGTGATAATGTGAAGGTTTTAATATTAGAATTTTTAATACTTAGAATTTTTTTTTTCAGACCACGAGTGGGTGTTTCACAATGGATTTGGATTATATAAATTGGGCGATTTCCTACACATCACTGCAAGGTAATTGCTAATATATTGCTGAAATGTTGCCTTTGTGCATATATTTAAACTAGCATGTTTAAATTTTGTTCTCTGTATATAACTCTAGAATAATTCTGGTTTAATATCTTTCTGAACACAAGTTGTAGCTACTATTTAAGTTTTGTTAATAAACTGATAATAAATACGGGTAGATGTCGATCACAGAGTCACCAATAAGTATTGTACTATATTGGTGCTAAGTTGATCGTAGATTAATGTTTGTCATATGCTCTGGCAACTGTATGTTGTCGGTCACAAGATAAACGTACAAATGTTACAAATTTTTAATTGTATCTTAACTAGCAAGGTTGTTGCTCCTTTGATACCTGCTCAGCTATTCCTTTAACTTTTGGTACTGTTTCAAAGCTTACGTTGTGCACTTTTAAAACTCCCTGCACTTTGCATGTAATTTTGGAATAGGTTCGTATCCTGACTAGGAATATCGACTAGGTGCCGATCCGTAACTACAGTATATCCCTTGGGTTGCCCAACAAGTCTTGTGTTCCAGGGAAACTAGTCGGGCTTACCATGAGCTATGGATAAGGAAAGCTCTCTACCTGCCAACACAGCTTGTACACTAATTAATTTTATTGTAATTTTGACATGTGTGTAAAAGTTTGTAGAGCTTTGTTGTATATTTAAAACTAAAGTTGGATCAAAATGGATTTGTTTAAAAATGGTGGTTCAGTGTTGCCATTCCATTTTTTGGTGCAAAATTCCAGTCTTATACAGTATTACATTTTTTTGTTTACTTTCAAATTAATGATTGTATTCAGAATTACAAGCATTTTGGATTTTTTTTAAATATGAAGGGCTAGGCTTCATATTAGGCTAGTGTTAAAATTTCTTAAGAGCCATAGTGACAAATGAAAATCTTTGTACAAATAAAACCTAAATTTTTAATCTGCAGCTAGCCAATTGTCAGAATGAAGCATATACTGTACATGTGAACCTACCTGTATATAACAAACTTGTGATTTTTCATATTTAACATAACATTTGATCCAATAACAAATTTCAGATCCAAACATGGTTAGTGTTCCTTTGCTTCACATTGACTTGGGAATGTTCCATCGGTGAAGTGATGGGATCTTGATATATAATGTAAGTAAAAGTTTTTACTTTTGTACATTCTAGGTATGTAATCACCCATCCTCCTTGCATAGCTCGGGAAAATCTGTAAAGCCATGAGGATGATTTGAACCTTCACACTGGGTGTTCCAAAAGTATATTCCCTATTCTCTTGTCTCGTATATGCTAAAAGCAATGCAACCTGGACTGAATCCTCAACATGGCTTCTGCTGATTTTCTCACCCCATGATCATGTGATTTCCTTGTGAAATTACTGTTAGGTAATTTATCTATTCCTTTTTAATAAATTTAATAAATAGGTAAATTATCAATTATCCCTTTATAATTTTTTATTTCAATATTTAACCCTTGCACTGCTACAGCCTGGGCTGTAAATAGGGGTATAAGCTTGGGCTGGGTAAAAATATAAATTATGTGAAAATTAATTTTAAATGTTAAACAAATCTTCAACTTGTTGCCTTTAGCGTCTTGAAAGTTTCATCCCAATATTTTCAGAAATGGATTTTAATTTTTTTTTTTTTTTTGTAAAGAATGTTTTGTTGATAAGGAGACTGGCTCCTATTAATCCTTAAGTTGTGCAACCCATCATGTGTGTTGACTTGCTATAAAATGCGCATCCCATCATATGTATGGAGTACTACGCAAGATTTAAACGGCCTGTGGATACATGAGGTTCACCTCGCCTTCCTCAGGGCTCTTGTAAACAGACGCCATTTAAAAAAAAAATTGTGGGCCAAATTCCTGGGTGTGAGGGCCTCGGTATTGAGTGAGCCACCAAGCCTGATGCACGCAGCATGAGCTCGCTGCACTGCTGTTCAGCTTGTGACCACAGCATCGCCTAAAATGCCATAATATTCATGTTCGTGCTATTATTTAGCATTGATATTATTACAGAAGACCCCTGACTGATAAAAATGACCAGTACCTGTATTCTGATAATAGCAGGATTGTGATAATTAGCACTGTAGTGGGAGGAGTAATCTTGGTGGGGAGGGAGGTAGCATTGTCTGCTGACTGTGTGTGACCACCTTTTACTGTCTGGACTCGCTGTACCAGCTTAATTGTTCGCTATGGTGAACAAAACATGCAGATACTTCTATATAACATCTGTATATAAAAGGAAAAACAGTGGTGGTGAGATGAGGGAGGGAGAAAGTGGCAGCCAGTGGTGGGCTGCCACTGCCACTCGGCATACCAACTTAGTGATTCGTCATGGTGAATACGAATGTAGATACTTGCATATAACTTCTGTATATAGTGAATAAAAGTAAAAACCGTATGATGGGAGGAGAATATTGGCAAGTGAGAAGTTGAGGGAGGGAGGGGCAGAGAGTGGCTGGCTGGTGTGTGGTGGTCACTCCTCATTGCTTTTTAACTCCTATTACCAACTTAGTTGTTCGTTATGCACCATAATATGGTGATATTATCCATAATAATATAATAATTATATTATACACCATAATAATAACGATATGCACCATAATTTTGAGTACAGCGATGAGTCGCTTATTTAATTATATAAATATATCACACTACACACTTAAATAATACAGCAGAAAAAGTACGAAAAATCAGACATTGAAATAATTAGGTAATTATCTTTGTGGTCACTCCTTCCTGACAGCTGGGAACACTGTTTGCTACGCACGCTGAGTCTGCGCCTCTTCCCCCCCCCCCCCCTCCCATGACTTCCCCCGCCCTATAGCGGGCAATATGTGCCACTTGCCATTTTTTTTTATTTTCCCATGATAGAGAACACGCTAAATTAACAGGTTTAGAAATTTTTTTTTTTTTTGGTATGTGCCTGTGGGTGACAAATGCCAATTAGCCCTGAGCAACACAAGGGTTAACTGAAACTGAGGGATAATGCAGTAATAAGGAGATGCAAGCACCTGTCCGATGCACAAAGAAGAATAGTAATTAAAAGTAAAAGTGCCCACAAAGTGGATATGCAGCTGGTGCTTTTATAACGTTGCCGAGTAATACTTATTAACACAAATATTACCGAGTAAGTTTATTATGCTCTATTTTGTTATATACAAATACGTCGTTCAATAGTAATATCTGTTAATTTTTTACCAATTTTTTTTTTAGGATTTTTTCCTTGTAACCTCGACATCTGGGAGAATGCATATTCTTCCATAAGTATGTGAAGAAAGAATTAAATTCAACACATTGACTTCATTTCAACATATTGACCTACAACTTTCACATATTAGAGTACGAATGCCAAACAATGTTTTTTAAAACATACAAGTAAATTCATGAATTGGCACCACCTTGTACATTGTCGATAACTTCAACTTCGAGGAGCTGGTCAGCCGAGCGGACAGCACACTGGACTTGTGGTCCCGGGTTCGATCCCGGGCGCCAGCGAGAAACGATGGGCAGAGTTTCTTTCACCCTATGCCCCTGTTACCTAGCAGTAAATAGGTACCTGGGTGTTAGTCAGCTGTCACGGGCTGCTTCCTGGGGGTGCAGGCCTGGTCAAGGACCGGGCCGCGGGGACACTAAGCCCCGAAATCAACTCGAGATAACCTCAAGGTAACTTCAATTATTTCTAAAACCATAAGTTTCAACAGTCTGCTTCAAAAATTTGTTTGACTGATTCTTACCATTTTTACATAGTGTGCACCGCTGTCTGTTCTACAATCCTATTGGGATAAATTTTTCATGAACATTAAATGTTTTGAGTTATAAATTTTGTTGTCCAAATTTGGTGCATAATTAAAATGCCATCTTGACTTTGGTAAACAAAAAATTGAAAATCTGTTCTAAATCTATTAAAATGAAGATCATATACTATTCGAGTATAACATAATGAACAATTGGCGATGTTTAATATTTTTGCACCGATCTGAAATTTTCAATATTAAATTTTAAAATTGTTTTTAATTTTTTTTTTTTTTTAAAGTTGTTGTTGATCATTTAGGGGACAAAATTGTTTGCCTAGTAGATTATGCATAAAAAAAATTTGAAAGTGTTAGAACACTTGAAAAATTCAACTTGCGGTTCCATCGGGCCCTGGCATATATTTACGCCATGCGCAGTTTAAGGGTTAAGCACTTGAAGAATGTGATGATTTTCTCGTGAAGGCTCTGATATTGATGAGTAACCTAGTCCTGAATAAAAAAAACTAAGCTTAAGCTAATTTCTTAAACTAAGTTAAGAAATTAAAATTTTTTTTTCTATTTTTCAGAGCACTGGTCATTTGATTTTTCCATTGCATAAATTTGGCTATTTCCAATACATCACTGCAAGGTAATTACTAATGTAGTGCTGCTTTTGTGCATATAGTAAAACTACCAAATTTAAATTTCCTTTATTGAAGTTAATATAATACTGGTTTAATATCTTCATGTGAACAAGACAATGCAACTACTATAGTTGGCAAATTTCTTAATTGGGGAAATAATTTTTGTTAATGAACTAACTAATAAGTACTGGTAGTTGTCGATCACAGAGTCACCAGTAAGTGTTGTACTAAATTGGTGCTAAGTTGATCGTAGATTAATGTTTGTCATATGCTCTGGCAACTGTGTTGCTGGTCACGAGATAAACGTACAAATGTTACAATTGTTTGTTTTGCATCTGTTGCTAGCAAGACTTCCTAGTACACTAAATGGCGTATGTACAAAATAATTTGAAGATAATTGTAAATTTAAAACTAGTTGGATAAAAATTAGTTTTAAATAACTGGTGCCACATTTCATTGCAATATCTGAAGATATTATTGCAATTTTTGCACTGAAATGTGGCACTAGTGACAATCTCTGAACTTTAATTTGTTGCTTTACCTTCAGAATTTCAAACATCTAGGATTAGTTTTTAATATATTGCTGAAGGGCAAATAAAACCATTTCCAACAACTTTTGTTTAATCTGGAGCTGCCAAATTGACAGAATGTAGTGTTGTACATGTGAACCTACCTGTAAATAACGATTGATATTTTTGTTCAAATTTAACTTTATTACAATCATCTATTTAATAAATTTCAGATCAAAACATGGCTAGTTTCTTGGCTTCACGTTGGCTTTGGAATGTTCCATTAGTAAAGTGATTGGCTCTTTGATATGTAATGTAAGTATAAGCTTAGTATTGTATATCATAGGTATCCAGTTAACTTACATTCTCTTTAGCTAATTTATCAGAATTGTATAGTACTCGCATTTAATTTAGTAATCGCAATATCTAGTGGAGGTATGTGGAGCCCCCCTTCCTGTATCGGGTTGAAGTGGACCATGTAACCCCCCCCCCCCCCCCCTTCCTCTTAATGTATGTGCTCCTAAAATGTATACATTCTTGCCATGTCAGGGCTTGTGCCTGGTTATAAGTAATACTTGATGATTGTGTATTTGTGGCTACTGTTTTGGGGACTGGATAAAAATTTAAATTTATTTGCAATGATTTAGTGGATGAAAATTGATTGGCTCAACTTCACAAAACAGTGACTTTCCGTGGTTATTTCAACATTATTGTAAAAATTAAAACGGTTCCATTCATCTAAAGACTTGGTGTTGTCCATAGGGGCACTTGCAGAATGTAGGCAACACTGTAAATTTTAAAGTTTAATCACACCCTTGGGATTACATGCATATTGAAAACGTGTCTTGCTCAGCCTATTCATAAAGATGTGACCTTCCACATTCTACCCTACTACCTCATTACCTTGTAATCTAGCATCCCCTTTTCTACACTATACTACTACACTATGGCACTGCCTTTAATGTACAATTTTAGTGCTTGCTATACTTAATTTTTCCTTGTCAACTTATTTCGTCAATTTAACTTTCGAACCTAGTATGCCGTCTTCTGTGGCATTTTTCATTGGTCCATTATAAAAAGGTAGTTGTATAAATATGTAATATTTAACCTACATATGATGATTTCTTGTTATCCCTGTCTTAATAAGTAATGTGGAAAATTGTATCTGACAAGTATTGTCTATACCTTAACATTGGCTAGGCTGTACTGATATTATAAAAAGTGAATTTTTTCAGCCTGGTCTCAAATGGTGCATGAATCTTTGACATCTTTGCTCGTCTGTTTACCTGAACCTTGCTAGGTAAGTTTTATATATTATGGATGTTATAACATTTCCTTGTGTTCCTTGGTGCTGTTACCCACCAAAACCTTTTCCTTGTTTATAGGTTCTTGATAGTTCTGCAGTTGTATAAGGGTACTTTTAACCCATATTTAGAATATTTTAAAAATCTTGGATAAGATTGACTTGTTGAAAGTTGCAAGAGTACAGAACGTACAGTGAATGGGAACTCGGCATGGCCCGCGTTCCCTTTTAAACAAAGATTTAATGGGGGAAACCTGTGCCCAAATTGCACCACGAGAATTGCCAGGAATTTGTTAATTATGGAGCTTGACTAATAAGCTTAAAGACTGACCAATCCTTATTGCAGTTGCTGGTGAAGTGGGAATGGTACTGTGCACAAAAAGGGCGAGCGAGCCCTGGTTGGGTCATCGTTCTCAAGTTTCTGCTAGATAAAATCTTTAAAGTAATGAAATTTAAGGAAAGGTAGAGATCTACTTTCTGCATAACCAATTCACCATGGACATGCATTTTGAATCCCTTGATAAAAGGGACTTGTTCTTCTACTTTATCATATTACCCCTCGAGTGGTTTAATTTTTTTTTCTGTATAACGATGGCGTATACTGTTTGGTAATGCAACGGCATGACAATGCTAGTTTTGTCGGTGGCATGACTGAATTTTGAGTGGTGCTTCATTTCTCTTGAAATTGGTGTTTGGTGAGTTTGGTGCTCTTCATTTCTCAAGAGCCAGAGTTTAGATCCGACATGTTAGTGGTAACCACATTTTTAATGGCATTTTCAAATTTGTGCTATTTTTAAATGGCTGCTTGTGAATTTATAAAGTACCCAGATGGCCACGTTCATTAACTATAATTTTTTTTTCTGCATTTGTTTGCTGACCTGTTGGTTTGATCTTCCTTAGTTCAGTTTAGTTTTTTGTGATTTTCCTACCTTACCATACCCATTGTAAGCACTTTTGATTTATTCATGATGAATTTGTTATCCCTGTCTTAACAAGTAATGTGGAAGTTAATATTCTGACACTTGGCCCATATTAATTATTCAAACATTTTGTTGCCAAAATTTTAATTTTATATACTTATTACAGGTTATGATGTAACGGTTCTATTGTTACGTAAAGTATGGTGACAAATAAATAGGGATATGATCCAAGAATGCTCTAATGTGATGAATTTCTATCGTACTTGGTGGAACCTTAACAGGTAATTATTTGTTTTTAAAGTTTTGCCAGTTTAAAAATATTTTATATGCAGTAAGTGTACAAGGTTAAGTCACGGTGACCATGGTAAATTGCCAGTTCAACCCTGAGCTAGCCATTCTTTTCTAATGTTTGTGCTAAAGAGCTTTTGATAGTTTTTCATACACTAACTTGGGTAATAAATGAGTGCAAGGGGCAATAACATTTTCAGCCATATTTTTGTAACTGCACACTTTATTATTTATTATACAAAATCTGCCCCCATCTATATCAATTAGGAACTGGCCTAGATCTGATATTGTCTAGCACTTCCTGGTATAGAATTAACCATGGACCTAGTATAAAGTAACAGTACTTGCAGTAATAAACCAGATCTAACTTCTCTGGTCATCGTGAAAACACTTGTAGCCAGTGGCAGATATTTTCTAGCATATTATGGTAAATAACCAGGAACATATTTTCAATTTTCCAGTAGCAACTACTGTTTCTTCCCACATGTATTCTCATTTTAATTAGTCCTGCATGCTATTGAAGTAATCTTAATTTGAAAGATGAACTCTGCAGACATGCACTCTGTGACAGTTTGTACATTAGACTGTGTTACTTTAAATGTCTGCTATAGAAATTGCAGTGGAAACTTTTCTAGCTACAATAAGTTGCTGGTTGTTATGCTGCTATAAAATTTTAAATATTAAAACTTCAATGTGAATGTGTGCTTTGGTCCCGCCTCGACCATCAATTGACTGGTACAAGTTCCCGAGCCTATTGGGCTCTTATGTCTACATTTGAAAGTACACTATGTATAGAGTCTGCCTCTACCACATCACTGCCTAGTGTATTCCATTTTAATTAATCTAGAATATAGAGCTCCTGCTTATGGAACCTACAACTGGTTAAATTAAAATATGCAAAGAACCAGAGATTAGACTAATGAGGATGTGATGGAGGAACACAGTGGAACAATTATTCAGATGTGTAGCAAGAAGAGAAGTGTTTATTAGGGAAAAACTAAATAGCTTCAGCCAGAGGTGGTTTGGTAGTGAAAAGTCCTTGGCAGTTATAACGGCTAAGGCTATTTGGTGTAATTGTTGTGGGTAAAACTATGCTAGCACCTGCACCCCCTCTACTTTAATATTACAGTAATGTGTGTTTGCTGCACTAGCTTACTAATTATATTTTACTCAATTTGCTTTTGCGAGTCTTAAAATTTTGGTTATGTCAAGGGATATCTGTTGTAGAATTGTATTATTGTAAATGTTTTTTTAAGATACATTAGGTGAACATAGTCCAGTGTATTGATTCATTAATTATTACAGACTGTTATGGTGGGCAAAATGAAGCAGATCCTCTACATTGGAAAAAGTTCTGGTGGGAAGTGTCTGGTATGTATTTGTTACACATCACGTACAATTTAAGTGTTTTAAGTGATGAATCTAAATAACCTTGACTTGCCTGAGAGTGTTAACTGGCTTAATCTTTTCTGATTATTGTATTGTTTTTACCTAGATTGTATAGATTGTGGACATAGTGTTTTTATATCTTTCTGGTTACAGATGCTTGGCGAATGCAGTTACTGTGATGATCAATGACTGGCAATGCTGTGATAGTGTTGGTCATCAATATTTGTCATAGAATCATGCTCTTTAAAAGAAGCCAAGAATTGAAGATAAGTTACTGTACTTTCAATAAAAATTTATGCTTTATAATGTTTTTATTAACTTGTAAATAATGAAATAGTTTCCCTTCCCTGCTAGGTGTATGGAAAAAAAATACAACGTACAGCAAGCAGCAGTAATATTTTTTTTCTATTAATAAAGCTCTGAAAGTCTCTAAATTTGTTGATTTTTCAATTATAAAGTAAAGGAAACTATAGATCTACTTCCGAACCATAGGGTAGCTGTCGTACTGTGTAAGTCCAGCATCAAAGTCTAGCAAGATGGGAGATCTTGCGTGAAATTTAACCCCAAGATGGTTTCCCTCTGCAACAATTGCTATAAATGTACCTCAAGGTCACCTACAGAGATTTTCATTGCGCATTAGAGTAAATTTTAAGCACCTACCGACAGTAGGCTGGTATCTTAGTTTTATACCTATACATGGGGTTGGTGGAGCACCCGGTATGAACTTTCCTGCTGTCTTTGAGAAATTGACTTCTTTTTTTTTTATACTATTTGGGCGCGTTCTGTGCACTTTGGTAACTGCTGTGCTTAAGTACCTGTCTGCTATTCTTGGTTTGTGCTCAATGCAATGCAGTGCCACATGTATTTTTATAACCAGTTTCTGCTGGTTATTTACTCACGGCCATCTGGCAATTTCACTGGCGGATGTTGCCCATGTCTAAATCAAATCATACAGGTTCATGAAATGCTTAGTATTCAGAGGCACTTCTATGCGCCACATTCTTTCATTATGAACCAAAACTTATACCCACCCCCTCAATTCTTTTGTATCGTCCACTGCAGACTTCTGCATGAATGTCTGATTAGTAAACTGCATATAATCTTGTAGTACTCGTGACAACACAAGCTTAATTGAAAAGTTTAGATTTTAAACTATGAAGTGCATTTCAAACTTCTACAGAGTAAAACCTACGATGGTACATGCTGTTTGCAGGATGGATTCAAAGATTTTGAAAAGTTTTAATAAATAAGTAGTTTTCATGAAGTAAAACTAATGATAATTTGGGTGTACATTTCTTTAAAGTACATACGGAACTTTACCAATGCCTGTCTAAATCATGAAATTTACCTGATGGCCTCGACGAGGACAGGAAGCCGGCAGCTGTCAATGAATCCCCCCTCCCCACATTTTATTTATGGGAGAGGCGGGTAGGTGGTTCAAAGGGCGTATAACGCTATAGGTGAAACTGCATTTTTTTTGTCCTATAGTCTTGTTGAGCTTCTAACTGTTGCTCTTCGTTTGTTACATATAGACTTGAAATTGTCTGGATCAATATCGTCATTGTTCAGTATTTAAGTTTCGACGAGATATCGACCCTGTCGATCTCGTCGACAGGGTAATAATTTGTCTGGTTTTGTATTTTACCTCCATAAACTTATTTCATTTTCAATCTCAAGAATATAAGTTCAAAATGAGCCCTGTGACCCTCGACGTTCCTGATATCAAGAGTACATAATTTTGGAATTAATTTTGTTGCCCGGTGTTAATACAGTTAATAACTCTTATCTTCTTTTCCTTGAAGTAAAAGGTTCGCTTAACTATTCCTAGGGTTTGACGAGTTACTTTCAGTGAATGATGGGTTCCGACTCAAAGGTCCCACTTTTTTTCATCAATCTGCTGCAAGGTAATTTGTTAGTTGTGATGTGGATTATTGTGCTCCCTATACAAGGTCGTACATTTTTCAATATTAAATAGCATTTGCTATACATGTTCTGACCATTTGTGTAGTTCATGTAGATATCTTTGTATGGCCTCGATATCATTTTCACTTCACGTTATACTATCAATCTTGAGTGTCATCTGCAAATTTGATGTGGTTTGTAATACTCTCGTCCATGTCCATGTATATGATGAAAAGGGTTGTCCCTAAAATGGACCCTTGCGGTACCAAACTCATCACATTTCTCCAGATTAATTTGTTTAATTTTGCTTTCTTTGGTTCCCTAGCCTCTGTTTTAACCCTTGCTTTGCAAGTTTTTTTTTTTTTAAATCCTTGTTTTATATATTCTAGCATTCTATCATTTATTTTGCAATGGATAATAATTCATATACAGTACTTGAATCGTCAAGTATTTCAACTCTGGTCTGAAAAATGAGACTAACAAAATAAACCTGGCCAGGATGCGCCCACTTCCATCGAGGAAGTGGGAACTATCAGAAGACAAGGCACGGTACTCACGCCCAGTTGTCGGGCACAAACCACCGCCCAGGTGGTCCAGGATTATTACCAAGACTACCACCACCACCGCCTCTTTTCACACTACACTCACAGAATGAACACTTTCCCGAAATACAAAGCCACTCACCCGGCCTACGGGAACTATACAACGATAGATATACAATAGATTGATAGAGCCACGGCCTCCCATGCGTGGGGTCCACGGTTCGAGACCCATAGTCTGTGAATGGAAGGACTATACAACGACGCCTGGTCATATCCCTGACGCCCTTTGCTCCCAATCTCCTGATGCACACCTTTTGCCATCATCCGCACGCACAGAACTCCCATTTTCCAGATCCCGCTCATAGGTCTAGGTTATGTTAGGCCTAGATCAAGTACGGTTGGGGGTTTATTTCACGTCTCTTTAATATTGTATATACTTTTATTTCCATTTGTTACTGTTTGTAATTTTTTTGTTTTGTTTTTACTAAATGTTCCCAAACGGGCTTCTCAATTTGTAATTGTCTTCCAAAAATTATAGTATCAGTATACTTATAACTACTGTGGATGGAATGTACAAAATATGAGCTATTACATCCACAAAAAAAGTTTTATATAGACAACTTTTTTTTTTAAATTGTCAAACGGCGAGCTACGTGATGCTAAAAATCCCCATCACAGAGTGGTTAGTCATACTAGGCATGTGATAAGTAGTTTGCACTGGCAAACTCTAGGTGCATTATGAGCATATGAACACAAGAGTGAATAAGATAGCAGTGATACTGAAGGTCCCCCTTACTGTCAATTCGGAAGATGGGTTGCATCTCGCACACGTTACTGACCTCAATGACAGCCATGAGGCAGCGATCGAGGACGGCCTTGTAGGGAGCGTCGTGTGGTATGGGCCAAGCTGCTTGTCCAGGAAGAACACTCTCTCTTCCAATGTACAGCTTGGAACTCCCATCCGGCCGGGTGTACGTCTCTGCTATCCTCAGTTGCTGGTAGCGTCGGTTTTCCAAGTGTGCCTGTCTGAGCCACATATTCACGGATAATGAGAGTGTATAAGACAAAAATATTTAAGGGGAAATTATAAGAATATATAGTAAACTTCCCGCACCAGTGTACCATACTCAGGTTAGGCTCATTTAAACGGCGGCCGATTTTTGCATTTGGTTTTGTTCATTTATTATGCACCTCATACCTACCCCGTGGGCGGTAGTAGAAAAAGGTTATAGAGGCACATAATGGGCTAAGGAATTGAACCCTAAAATGAATTGCCTATCAAGCCGAATTTGTCTGAAATTATATATTTTTCTTTTTTTTTCTTATGATAAAGCTTTGATAAACCTAAAGAATGATAACCTATATGATTTAATTTTGAGTTAAAACTAATATAATATGTTTATATGATAAACTTAAGTCAGTAATTTATGTTCTTGATATGATAATATTGGATAAAAGAAATATTTTAAAATAACGAAAATCAGTTAGGCAAATCCGGCCTTGCATACTAAAACAAGTAGTGCGGTTCTATATTTCTAAAATCGCTATTAGATATAGATATATGCTGCTAGTTTTTTTTAAGGAACTGGGGTCCACGCTAATTAAAACAACTAGTGACCCCTAGAGCCGCCAGTTACCTCTTTCAGCGCCTTAGTGTGGCGATCTAGAGAGGAAATGCTCACCGCATCCACGGTTCCTGCCCGTCTGAACAGCTGGAGGAACTCTACAACCTGTGACGAGTAGCCTTGTACCCTGCATGTAACCAATGTTGTACCCTTTTTGTGCAGCGGTAGGCCGGTACTCTGGAATACTTTTGTTGGGCGGTAGCCAACCTCAAAGATGCATTGATAAACTTTATCGTACTCTGTATTTAAAGTCTATGTTTCTCAAATATAAATTAATAACATTATACACATTTACATTTTGTCTATAGTTAGGCGTAGGATAGGTTAATGGTTTAGGTTCTGTTGGCAATTATTTGCATTTTTAGCAAGCTGTTCTCGGGTCGGACTCCATAGAGCGGCAGACGTTCCTTCCAAGACGAATTCATAAATTTTAACATACCATGTATAAAAAATAGGTCAGTTCGCATAAATTATTACAATCTCATAACCTATAATTAGGTTCTTAATCTCTCTTATATATATACGAGAGAGAGTGTTCTATGTATAATTAGGCCTAGATTAGGTTAGGTGTTTAGGTTCATTACACACAGAGATCACACTAACGTGTGATCTTGTGTTTAGGTTCTGTTGGCGATTATTTGTATTTGAAGTACGTGGGTGAAGCATGATCAGAGTTGTGATTCATAGGTAATCATCAGCTATCATTAAGGTCATTAAGATCAGGTCTTTAAACAGTCGTGTTTAAACTATTTTAAATTTATAAACGGGGAGGGTTGGCTGGATTAAGGAGCATTTGGCCTTCATTGATGAGGACGGGCTAAGGTGAAGCATTTATTGAGATGCGATGCGAACACAGGAAAAACAAACACTGTTCGAGCTTGAACGTCATCAATTGTGAGTCGTGGTAAAAAGAGCTTGTCATTAGTGAGTAAGGGGTTTGTTGGCTGGATTCACGAGTATATAAGCTTATTCATGTTCACGAGAACGAGCTGGCATGTGAATTTGCGATTCAATGTTCAATTAACCAAACATTCTAAGAATGTTAACAACTTGTAAACTATCTTAAAATGTCACCAGCGACCGCCTTGTGGCTTAGCAAGCGATAAAATACTTTTCTACAACACATTCAAGGCCACGTTATCTTCTCTACCTTTGTCTTTCTCCTAACACGGTATTTTTATTGTTAATGTCTTAGACCTAGTGCGTGCTTCTACGAAACATTGCTTTCATTTATACCTTGCAACTACCATCACCTGCAACTTACTTGTTTTCAATGGCTTGTCGTAGTCCAACTTCTATAGAAGGAACGATGTTAATTAGTTCTGCTAATCTCTGGAATACTTTCGAATCGGACTTGCTGAAGAAATGTTTAAACTCTGCTCCGTATGGTGGCATCGTTATCCTGCGTAAAGCAGACAGATAGAGAGTAGAAGGTGCGTAATACCTGCCTTCAGCAGTGGCGCTCTCATATAGTACACAGCGAAAAGGAGGTTTAGTGCTCTACCTGTCTGCAGCAGTAACAAGCTGCTGGAGCGTCTCAGCTCGGGGCGGGTACTTAGGCAGCATGAGGAAGGCGGTGAGGTTGCCACGGTAAACCGTCCCTATGATAAGACCGAACACCAGCCACACCATCACCAGTATACGACAGGAGCTGGTGGTGGGCAGTCGTCGTGGCAGGTTCTGACCCAGCAACATCCCCGTCAGCTGGTGAACCACAACGCTGCCATCCGTCCGGTCCACGCCGCCTCTACGCTCGCTCGTACGAATAATCTGAAGTATGTATTTACATCACCCCCGTCTCAGCACATAACCAAAATTTATATATAAATTGAAGCTAACTTCTAAATGAACTTATATGTGTTGGCCCAAATAAAAATCCTCTATGCATAGTCATTCGTCGCCGGTTTTTCTAGAGTTATAAGGTGTTCACATCTGCAAATACAACCAAGGTGTTGTGAAGGGGGCCAGAGACACCATTATTCAATAACCCCTCAGTAGATGGGCTTGAAGTTTACCTCCCTTTTAATTTAGTTTCTGCGCATTTTATCTCAAGTCAATTTAATGTTGAAATAAGTAGGGTATTCCATAAATTATAGGAATCGATGGGGGTATAACGAGACTTCTATCTCAAAGACAGTAGAATATAATGAAAGTATTTCAATACAAAGAAATATTTACACTTTTTTAATAATTGAGTGTGAACCTTGAGAAATGAGTTAATTATCACAACACCAGGCCAATAGCTGAGCACACTTTAGTCATTAAATAACACAACATGTATACATCAAAATGACCAGAAGTAAAAGTCTCGAACGTGATACAAGATGAAATACGCGAAGTATTGAAATATTATAAAGAGCTATGGACAGACTCAAAGTAGTTCTTAACCTACCGACATTTTACTTTATTTCTTGCAAATTACTTATTTAAATAATTTATTGGCACATTTCAACTGGCGCCAGAACACCATTTGGTCCGGAAGACATCTCCCGTCACGCAGGGTGCAGTCGCGCCTCCACAGATCTCCAGTATCAGCTCTTGATACTGGTAATGGCTCAAAAGGGCCACCACTTACGGGCTATTCATGCCCGTGCCACCTTTTGGGTGGCTTAATCTTCATCAATCAATCAATCTGGCGCCAGAATCATCTGGTAAGAAAACGTTGGAACAAATTTACTTATTTCCAAATTAAGAGTAAAACCATGTGGGCTTTTAACATATAAATCTAGGATCAAGATTGAACTATCTAACTAAAGCGGTACTCAAAAAATAATAAATTAAACATTACCGGTTCTTCAAAATTTTGGACCGACCAGCAAGGATCCTATCTCAGAGTGAAACTGGAGTTATTATAGATTATTACAAAATTTTCTGTTGGGGGTTTTCATGCTTGATTGACTACACGTTCCTCGCCCCAACCTACTCTGGCCTCTTAATGCAAGCCATCCTCCTGTTTAAATATTACTTTTTGTAACTATGCGGACCATAATACGTATATTGACGTAATGAAAATTTAGATAGTAGAATTTGGTACTATTCACTTTATACAGTCCGGAAAAATAAAGCTTAAAACCAGACTTAGATATTCTTAGGCCTAGTATAGCGCATATATGTATTAGGCCTAAGATAGCGTGTATTAGGCCTAGGATTGTTAGGTTAAGTTTTATTAGCAACATGAATACAAAACTTTTTAATGTTTGTCCAAATTCAATAGTACCAAATTCTGGTTCCTAATTGTCCACTATGTTAATATATATAAGATGGTCCACATCGTTACTTTGAGTAGTAAACAGGATAGGTTGTTTAGTGCCTTAAGCTTTAATTTCTGATAGGCTTCCTGATGGCTTTTGTATCAGTGGTTCTGTATTTAAATTAAGAAACTTAAATTATTTGTGTTCGATTTTTTGTTATCGTTGTTCACCCTTATGTGGCATTATTTGACTTCTTGGTGGTAGAATTGTACTCTTATGTGGCACTTTATTCACACATATCCAGTTTAATGTTTATTATTATTTATTTTTTTAAATCCAGTTCACGTAATTTTCGCATTACCAGTTTTAATCTGTTATTTTTAAGTCTCATTTCACTGATTTTCACACATTTTATTGTATAACTAAATTGTTCCATTCTCGTGGCTTTCACTTAAACTTCAGAAAGAAGCTCATTTCAAAGAAAATATATACAGAGGCTTAGGAATGTTTTTGAACTAACAAGAGCGGCTTCACAGCTCTTGTGCCAAAGCTACACCTTCATGTATTTATTAATAACATAACTTAGTCAAAATGCACTTGTTAAAACATAAGTATAAAATGACATCTGAAACTGACAAAATTTAATGGAAAGTTTACATTGTCCCGTACAGCCTAATTATGAAGATAAATGTTAAACACACATGACTATTGGTCAAGGAATTTGGATATATACCGAGAGGTGTACCATCCTCCCTTCTTGGTGTAAATACATTGAGAGCTTACTTAATTACTCAATTATGCTCATGACTAAAGTATTCTTGCTGGTAGGTGAGTTTGTGGTGCCCTAAATAACCCTCCAGAGATTGCTATAAACCTTAAGCCCAACACTAAACGCTATACCATATAATCCCAGTAAGAAATACTTAATAAACAGCACAGGAACTACGTCTTAACCATAATCAAGACGATGGGAGCTGCGAGCAGAGCCAGGAGCACAGAGACCCACACCACGTCCGACAGCGGGTAGTAGAGGCCCTGCCACTGTTGCTTCAAGCCCGGCTGAGCCATACTGAAGTCCAGGGAGCCGTACTCGTACACCCAGGAGTAGTCGAAGCGCTGGAGGCGCTCCGGCAGCATGTTGTGGTACACCGTGGCCATGAACGACACGCGCTCCTCCACGCGTTGAGTTACCTGTTGTTATAGTGAAATATAAGGTCTGCAGGTAAATTGTTAAAGCTAATGTCAACATCCCTTGCGGGTACGATTAAGTCCATTTATGCCCTCTGTAATAATTTGGCGCTACTGTTTATAGGATGAGTATTAAGTGTATCACAATCTACTGATCACAGGATGAGTATGGAGTATACATTATATAATAAATATACATAGAGAGGCAGTGACAATGAGAGAGACAAGGGATGTGTTGACATTCGTTGGGATGCCGTACATGTTTCCATTTATCGTTACTTATATATATTTGTGCTGTATATATTGCCATTTATCGTTATTTCCCTTGAAATTTTGTGGACAGATCCCGGATCGACCCAAGTACCGGGTTTTCACGTGACATGACTGTGGCTAGCACTTGTCGGAAATTTTGACACTATCTGCTAACCCCTGACATACCAAGTTAAAACGGTTATGTCAGGTACATAGTAATATTACTAACTTATCAAAGAGAACGGATTTGATAGCGTTCTAGAGAGAACGGGATGGTGCCACATGCAAAATAAACAATACGTATCGTCTCTCTCTTGTAGTAACATAAAACTTTCAATGTGAAGACTAAATACGATAAAATAGTACTTATTAATAGTTACTGTACCTAAATAAACAGTAAATCAAGCGTCTCTCTCCCTACGTCGATAATGACGTATTTTGAACCAAGCAGAGGTAGCGTCCCCAGCAGGGGAGAGACGCCATTAGACGGGAGGTGTTGAGACCAGAAGCACACCCTGAGCGCTTGGCAGAGAAGACGCCTACACGTTTTATCTCTTAATTGCCAGCCATTAGTCACAAATCCCGAGTTTTTGATACAGGAAAAAAACATTTCCGCCCAACCAACGAACTCATTGTACAGGGAAGTGTAATTTCCGAGCAATTGTTGTAGTTTATATTATTTGCTTTTGTCATGATCTCTTTAACATTGTCCGGTTATGACGCTTGCTTTCTAAACAAAATGCGTAAGCCACATTATTAATACAAATCCAACTTAGAATATGTTTGTAGTGGTAACAGTGTATTACTTATCACTTATTTGGCAGGTATAGTACGAGAGGACATTATCTAGTCGACCTGGTGCACCACGAAGCTTCCTAAGTCACCATAGTGTTTCTACCTACAAGGTTCCAGGATTACCTGATGGAAACTCGTGCCTATTACCAGGCCTTTGCCACTCTTATAGATAAGCCTTACCGTTCAACTAACCTAATGTAGGAACCTAACTAACATTTCGTAGTTTATTGTTACCCACCACTGGTGGTATATTTTTTTTTTCAAAGGTTTCTTTCACTTTATTGTCTTAGGGTTTTGTACACATGTACATAATTCCTTGCGTACAAATAAACATGCATTTAGTGCATTATTAACCAAATGTAATTAACCACTAAAGTATTAATTTTTCAATATCATCAATCACAGGAATATACATTCGTTGTTAAAATCGTATTTTTTATAGATCCAGAAAGCATTAATTTGTATACTTTAGTTTGGATTTTTTTTTATTAATACATTGGGTACATCTGCATTTGTGTAGCTACCCTAGACTGTATGATGGTGAGTACAGTGTGTCAAAAAGCTAGCTACGTGATGCTAAAAAATCCCCATCACACAGGATGGTTAGTTATACAGAGGCATGTGATAAGTAGTCTACACTGACAGACTCTGGGTTCGTTATGAACTGGTGGTATAAGCTAAATACGTATACATAACCCCCCTACTTATGGAAGGATAACCCCCAGTAGGACTAACCAATATACAGGTAATTCAGTCCATTTGCATCATACAGTTCACGTCAATTAATAATTAATATTAAGGTAGATTTCTACTTGTAAGTTAACAGTACAAACAAACAAACTCCTGCTGGGCAAAATTCCCCACAGCACTGTGGTTCACGTGACATGACTGTGTCGAGCACTGTGGTTCACCTCCGTCCACGAATCAGTAGGAACGACATTGATGGTAAAGTTGAGTGCGCCCGCAACTGCCATCAGCATGAGGTAGTCTGAGCCAGTGTAGACAGTAGCGTTGCCAGGGCCCTTCAGCTCGTCCCAGAAGGGTGCGAACGGCAAGGCAGTGACGTTTACTGTGGCTCCGTAAAAGCTGCGAGTGACAACAGTTTCGTGTAATATAGTAAACATGTTTGTTTTGTGGCTGTACAATAGTGTCAAATGTTATTTTTAGATTGGCATGCGATAGTCGTTCATATATATGATTTCAAGTTTCAAATGTGGGTATGCTTGGCGACGATATAGGACTAATGGCGTCGACAAAATATCAAATCGTGAATAAATTTACTTGGAAAACTTTGGTATGAAGAAGGAAAGACCGTCTTGGATGAGGAGGCCGCGTGCGGCCGTCCACGAGGCTACCTTCACCACCTGGGCTCCCCTGGAGGTATATGGCAGATAGGTGAACACCCCGAACCTGTCGACCGCAGGAGAGTCACTGTTGGAGTGATGTCCACGTCAAGTGTATGACGAGTGACACGAGTTTATTGCTCGTCCCATCTCAATTTTAAAGTATTTTTACAAGTCAACCGTTTGTTTGCAAATAATTTATACACAGTTTGGATCACTATATATGTATTTAATTTGCAATTCCTTCAAATGTCAACAACATAGATTTAATTGTGTATATTATCCAAGGTTTTTCAGCATGTTATTCAAAGTAAACAAAATGGTATTTATAAATGTCTATTACATGAGGTTATTGAACATGGGCTAAAGAGTGAACAAGATGGTGCACATTACCTGAGGTGGTTGAAGGTGGGCTCCAGGTTGAGGATGATGGCGGCCATCATGGAGAAGGTCCAGTGGGAGGAGAGGAGGGCGTGGAGCTGTGTCAGGGGGAGACGAGTCACCACCAGCAGCTTGGTGTCCCACGCCAGGAGGCGCCCCTTGAGGGACCTCTCAGCGAAGGCGGCGAGGAAGGTGGTGTCAAGACTGACTACCACCACCCACACACACCATGACCCCAGTCGCACCTGGTGGTCAGCCAGGGAAGCTCACTGTAAACACTATATTTGCCATATTGTGCACACAACCCCACCTGGTGGTCATCCAGGGAAGCTCACTGTAAACACTATATTAGCCATATTGTGTACACAGCCCCACCTGGTGGTCAGCCAGGGAAGCTCACTGTAAACACTATATTAGCCATATTGTACACACAACCCCACCTGGTGGTCAGCCAGGGAAGCTCAGTGTAAACACTATATTAGCCATATTGTACACACAACCCCACCTGGTGGTCATCCAGGGAAGCTCACTGTAAACACTATATTAGCCATATTGTACACACAACCCCACCTGGTGGTCATCCAGGGAAGCTCACTGTAAACACTATATTAGCCATATTGTGTACACAGCCCCACCTGGTGGTCAGCCAGGGAAGCTCACTGTAAACACTATATTAGCCATATTGTACACACAACCCCACCTGGTGGTCAGCCAGGGAAGCTCACTGTAAACACTATATTAGCCATATTGTACACACAACCCCACCTGATGGTCATCCAGGGAAGCTCACTGTAAACACTCTATCAGGCATATTGTACACACAGCCCCACCTGGTGGTCATCCAGGGAAGCTCACTGTAAACACTATACTAGCCATATTATACACGCACCCACACCTGGAAAATTTGTTAAGAACACTTAAGTAGACACATCGTACACACAGAAGGACGCTACCACCATTATTAATTGGTAATGGTAATGTTTTCTCACAGACAAAATAACATAGGATAAAAACCCACACTTGTGTATTTGTGAAATTTATGTAAGGAATGTACACAATATCTTTCACACTCTTGAGTGCTTTGTCAAGGTTTTAGTGAGTGATTAGGACGAGACTTACATCTCAACGTCTAAAGAGACTGCTATCCTATTGTTGTTTTAGATTTAGCTACTCAGAACGAAATGTCTATGTAGCACGGGTTATGGTGAGCCCGTAAACCCTGTCACCTCTATTCCCGATTGGCAATGTACCTGCGGTAATGTCTTTCAAGGAAATATGGTCATGTTTCCTCTTTGTAATCATGCTATTCTGGGAACTGGGGTTGTTATTAATCGAGGTGTTCATCTGGATGCTGTCATCGTAACCCCTCTCCATACCCCAATGAACGCGGCTACTGGGACTGCGTTCATTCATCCACTTATTGAGATCTAATTTTGCTTCATTCAGTCATTTTCATAGTAAAGCTATCCTCCGAAGTAAACCTTTTGTTGCCAGCGAAAGTATTCAGAGTATTTATTAGAACTCCTTCCTCTACCCTTCTGGTTCTATTATTATTACTTTTATAGCTTATTTCACACTTCTTAAAATCAATATTGTGATATTTTTTTTAAGCTACAGCACTGGTGCCAGCCATGGTTCTACAGGCTTTATTATGTTCCACAATTCAGATCTCCAGTTTTCGCCCTGTTTCCCCCCACATAGACTTCATTACAATCTCTACAAAATAATATATAAACGCTTCCCGGACTTCTATCCTCTCCTTCTCTGTTCTTACTAACCCTTTCCTTAATTGTATTTGGGTAATTGAAAACGATTTTATGTACCTCTAATTGGCCCTTCATCTACATGCGACCTGAGATTGATTAAAGTAGCTGTTAACTTTATTAGAGATAATTAATGATAAGGCTCAAATTCGTTTTTATAATCCATATTTACTCTGAGGCAACAAGTGATGTGACGGAGGTTACTGTGATCGCCGGTAGAGGTCAGGGGCGATGCGCTAACACGCTATCAGGAATCGGTTAAATAAATCTAAATCATTACACAGACTAATCCAACTGATTCCTGAGAGAATGAGCAATCCTCCAGCTACATTTATTATAACAGTTAGTAAAAAGTGAACGCAAATTCAACAAGCATTTATATGCATCTACTTTCGAACCTGTCAACTTTTCTCAATCTTTGGCAGCTTTGTTTACATTTATTAAATCGTTGACTTGACTAGTTGCATTGAAACTTCCCAGACAATTGTTTCTATTGTTATAAACAGCCTCCTGGTGCTTCGGAGCTCATTAACTTTTTAATATATGTAAACAAAGCCGCCAAAGATTGAGTTCGCCAGTACTTACATAACTGCTTGATGGATCCAGGTCTAGTGAACTATGCGTTTATCGAGACTCCTAACATCATTTGAATTGTATAAAACGGAGTGGTATTACCTGATTTCAACCTTAACCTGTAAAATGCTCAACTTAGGGAAGCCAGGAAGTTCCTGGCTTCCCTGGATAATAGTGCACGATGTTGCTGATAGTGGCCAGCATAGATGTGACTAATAATGGATATTCGAAATGTTTGTGGTGATATTTAGTCGAACAAAATCGAAGCAAATAATGGTGGGAGTGTGCAATATAGGAGATTCTGCCTACCAGTCTCACTAGTAGTGACCTGCTAGCCTCACTAGTTGTGACCTGTTAGCCTCACTAGTTGTGACCTGTCAGCCTCACTAGTAATGACCTGCCAGCCTCACTAGTAGTGACCTGCCAGCCTCACTAGTAGTGACCTGCCAGCCTCACTAGTAGTGACCTGCCAGCCTCACTAGTAGTGACCTGCCAGCCTCACTAGTAGTGACCTGCCAGCCTCAGCAATAGTGACCTACCAGCCTCACTAGTAGTGCCCTGTTATCCTCGGCAGTAGTGACCTGCCAGCCTCACTAGTTGTGACCTGCCAGCCTCACTAGTAATGACCTGCCAGCCTCACTAGTAGTGACCTGCCAGCCTCACTAGTAGTGACCTGCCAGCCTCACTAGTAGTGACCTGCCAGCCTCACTAGTAGTGACCTGCCAGCCTCACCAGTAGTGACCTGCCAGCCTCAGCAATAGTGACCTACCAGCCTCACTAGTAGTGCCCTGTTATCCTCGGCAGTAGTGACCTGCCAGCCTCGGCCAGTAGTGACCTGCCAGCCTCGACCAGTAGTGACCTGCCAGCCTCGGCCAGTAGTGACCTGCCAGCCTCGACCAGTAGTGACCTGCCAGCCTCAGCAATAGTGACCTGCCAGCCTCGGCCAGTAGTGACCTGCTAGCCTCGACCAGTAGTGACCTGCCAGCCTCAGCAATAGTGACCTGCCAGCCTCGGCAGTAGTGACCTACCCGTCGGGCCTGGAGGACCAGCTGGGAGAGGAAGGTGCTCGTCCTGTTGGGGTCCAGACCGTCCGCCCGCGCCTCCAGCACCCCCACGCCCCAGGGACACCCTCGCCACGTACTCATACCCTGGGAAGATTACGTAATGTAACATATCTAACGATGTATCATTTTATTATGTAATTTTGTATTTGCGGATTATAAGTTACATAACCTACTTACGTGAAAATTACCGTTCAAATTGGTCTTCTATTGCATGAGTGAAATCTAGAATTGGGTAAAATATGGACTGGTTGGTAGAGCGACGACTTCACTTCTTTCAAGTCTGCGTTCGATCCCCGATAGTCCAAATATATGGGCACTGCTCCACTTCGTCTTCATATCCCAGCTCATTCTCCTCAGGTTTTCATTAATTTTTGGGCTAGGCAGCAGAGTGGGCTGCGTAATTAGCCCACTATTGTAGGTTCGTGAGGATCACATACCCTCCAAGACACTATGTCACTTTAGAGTGCTTTGTGAGGCTGTTTAAAGTCAAGGCTACAACAAAAAGTATAGTGAACTGAGAAGGGATATGAAGACAAGGAGCTGGGATAAGAAGACGGGCTGAAGGAACGGTACCTATCCACTTGGACCATAGGGGTGATAGAACCACGGTCCTGGAGGCAGGGAGGCCGTTGTTGAACCGACCAATCCAAGTAAATGGACAGTTTACGACATAAACAATTTAATCTTTGAAATGAGGTCGAACTGAGACAAGGTAAAGTAAAGCAATCGCGAGGAGAACGCGATAAGCCAGTGTGTGACTACATGTCGCTAACACAGCTAAGCCAGTGTGTGACTACATGTCGCTAACACAGCTAAGCCAGTGTGTGATTACATGTTGTTAACACAGCTAAGCCAGTGTGTGACTACATGTCGCTAACACAGCTAAGCCAGTGTGTGATTACATGTTGTTAACACAGCTAAGCCAGTGTGTGACTACATGTCGCTAACACAGCTAAGCCAGTGTGTGATTACATGTTGTTAACACAGCTAAGCCAGTGTGTGATTACATGTTAACACAGCTAAGCCAGTGTGTGATTACATGTTAACACAGCTAAGCCAGTGTGTGACTACATGTCGCTAACACAGCTAAGCCAGTGTGTGACTACATGTCGCTAACACAGCTAAGCCAGTGTGTGACTACATGTCGCTAACACAGCTAAGCCAGTGTGTGACTACATGTCGCTAACACAGCTAAGCCAGTGTGTGACTACATGTCGCTAACACAGCTAAGCCAGTGTGTGACTACATGTCGCTAACACAGCTAAGCCAGTGTGTGACTACATGTCGCTAACACAGCTAAGCCAGTGTGTGACTACATGTCGCTAACACAGCTAAGCCAGTGTGTGACTACATGTCGCTAACACAGCTAAGCCAGTGTGTGACTACATGTCGCTAACACAGCTAAGCCAGTGTGTGACTACATGTCGCTAACACAGTAAAATACTAAGTCACGCGTCTCATCAACTCGGATTAAATTAATAGTTATGACACTTGACTTTTCCTTCTCTACAAAATTTAGTGATGAATTCAAGCTTGATCATTTATGTCAATATTTAATCGTAACATCTAGCACATCATAAGGTGTACTTCAAGATGTGTTTACACCGAGAGTTGAGTACACTCTGAGTGCAGTATACTTAAAGATTAAGTACTAGGTGATGGGCGACCTCCATCACTCTGATGATCGATGCTCCTAACACCTCAACACTTTAGCACTTTGTTATGAAGATTTTAATGAAAATTTCTCTGAACATTCAGCAGGTGGAAGCTTTGCAAGAACATGCAGCAGGTGGAGCTATGCAAGAACATGCAGCAGGTGGAGCTATACAAGAACATGCAGCAGGTGGAGCTATGCAAGAACATGCAGCAGGTGGAGCTATGCAAGAACATGCAGCAGGTGGAGCTATGCAAGAACATGCAGCAGGTGGAGCTATGCAAGAACATGCAGCAGGTGGAGCTATACAAGAACATGCAGCAGGTGGAGCTATGCAAGAACATGCAGCAGGTGGAGCTATGCAAGAACATGCAGCAGGTGGAGCTATGTAAGAACATGCAGCAGGTGGAGCTATGTAAGAACATGCAGTAAGTTGAGCTATGCAAGAACATTCAGCAGGTGGAAGCTTTGCAAGAACATGCAGCGTGCTGAGCTATACAGGAACATACAGTAGGTGGCGACCACATAAGAACATACAGTAGGTGGCGACCACATAGAACATACAGTAGGTGGCGACCACATAGAACATACAGTAGGTGGAAACCACATAACATATAGTGGGTGGAGTCTACACAAGACTAATCACCTTGAAGATGGTGGATGGTGAGGCGGTGCCATCTGAGAGGAGGATGAGAGAGCAGGTGGGTTGAGAGGCAGCCTCCAGCACCGCGCCCACTGCACCACCTGCCACCGACAGCAAGTCCATTGGACTTGGACCTAAGGGGATCAAATGGAAACAGGAGACGATCAGATTGCGAAGAGGAGATATTTATGTATAAGACAGAGCCCAGGGCTTAAGCCAGGGCTTAATAGCTGGCTTATACTCGCTACTTGGCTGTGCGTATGGAAGCAGAGTGCCAGCAGCGGATCTTGCTTGGCACCACATTGGGCCATGGTTCCTGTAATAGTTGCATTATATCGTGAACCTGTAGGCTCGAAGACTTTTGCGCTGGGAAGCATGAGGTTGTGATGTTGCTGGGAACATGAGGTTGTGATGCTGCTGGTTAGTATGAGGGTGTGGTGTGAGGGTTAGTATGAGGGTGTGGTGTGAGATAGAAGAAGGGTGTGGTGTACTGGTCGGTATGGTGCTGTGTTCCTTGTGTCCAAGTGTGTACGTGTTCCTTCTATCCAAGTGGAGTATATTTTAGTTTTTATTTATATATAAAAGAGTTCTTACATTCTTGTAAAGCCACTAGCATGCATAGCGTTGCAGGCAAGTCCTTAATCCTAATTTTTTACCCCCTGGAATACGACATACGAATACGCTAAATCGTTTAACAAGCAGGTACCCATTCACTGTTGGATGAACAGCGGCTACAGTTAAGGACTTGGCGCCCAGTCAATCCTCTCTGGCCAGGATACGAACCCAGGCCAAAGCGTTCGCGAAGCGCCGGGCGACTGTTTAACTACTGTGTTGGGATGTTGACGGAGTATGTAGTATGTAGGTGTAGTGTTGAGCAATGTGCCATTACTGTTGTGGTGTGCTGTGGTTCTGAGTGCCTGTCACTCGGTGTCTCCCAGAACACACTTGGCACTGGTATGGAGACTCGTGCTGTGGTTCTGAGTGCCTGTCACTCGGTGTCTCCCAGAACACACTTGGCACTGGTATGGAGACTCGTGCTGTGGTTCTGAGTGCCTGTCACTCGGTGTCTCCCAGAACACACTTGGCACTGGTATGGAGACTCGTGCTGTGGTTCTGAGTGCCTGCCACTCGGTGTCTCCCAGAACACACTTGGCACTGGTATGGAGACTCGTGCTGTGGTTCTGAGTGCCTGTCACTCGGTGTCTCCCAGAACACACTTGGCACTGGTATGGAGACTCGTGCTGTGGTTCTGAGTGCCTGTCACTCGGTGTCTCCCAGAACACACTTGGCACTGGTATGGAGACTCGTGCTGTGGTTCTGAGTGCCTGTCACTCGGTGTCTCCCAGAACACACTTGGCACTGGTATGGAGACTCGTGCTGTGGTTCTGAGTGCCTGCCACTCGGTGTCTCCCAGAACACACTTGGCACTGGTATGGAGACTCGTGCTGTGGTTCTGAGTGCCTGCCACTCGGTGTCTCCCAGAACACACTTGGCACTGGTATGGAGACTCGTGCTGTGGTTCTGAGTGCCTGTCACTCGGTGTCTCCCAGAACACACTTGGCACTGGTATGGAGACTCGTGCTGTGGTTCTGAGTGCCTGCCACTCGGTGTCTCCCAGAACACACTTGGCACTGGTATGGAGACTCGTGCTGTGGTTCTGAGTGCCTGTCACTCGGTGTCTCCCAGAACACACTTGGCACTGGTATGGAGACTCGTGCTGTGGTTCTGAGTGCCTGCCACTCGGTGTCTCCCAGAACACACTTGGCACTGGTATGGAGACTCGTGCTGTGGTTCTGAGTGCCTGCTCGGTGTCACTCGGTGTCTCCCAGAACACACTTGGCACTGGTATGGAGACTCGTGCTGTGGTTCTGAGTGCCTGCCACTCGGTGTCTCCCAGAACACACTTGGCACTGGTATGGAGACTCGTGCTGTGGTTCTGAGTGCCTGCCACTCGGTGTCTCCCAGAACACACTTGGCACTGGTATGGAGACTCGTGCTGTGGTTCTGAGTGCCTGTCACTCGGTGTCTCCCAGAACACACTTGGCACTGGTATGGAGACTCGTGCTGTGGTTCTGAGTGCCTGCCACTCGGTGTCTCCCAGAACACACTTGGCACTGGTATGGAGACTCGTGCTGTGGTTCTGAGTGCCTGCCACTCGGTGTCTCCCAGAACACACTTGGCACTGGTATGGAGACTCGTGCTGTGGTTCTGAGTGCCTGCCACTCGGTGTCTCCCAGAACACACTTGGCACTGGTATGGAGACTCGTGCTGTGGTTCTGAGTGCCTGCCACTCGGTGTCTCCCAGAACACACTTGGCACTGGTATGGAGACTCGTGCTGTGGTTCTGAGTGCCTGCCACTCGGTGTCTCCCAGAACACACTTGGCACTGGTATGGAGACTCGTGCTGTGGTTCTGAGTGCCTGTCACTTGGTGTCTCCCAGAACACACTTGGCACTGGTATGGAGACTCGTGCTGTGGTTCTGAGTGCCTGCCACTCGGTGTCTCCCAGAACACACTTGGCACTGGTATGGAGACTCGTGCTGTGGTTCTGAGTGCCTGCCACTCGGTGTCTCCCAGAACACACTTGGCACTGGTATGGAGACTCGTGCTGTGGTTCTGAGTGCCTGCCACTCGGTGTCTCCCAGAACACACTTGGCACTGGTATGGAGACTCGTGCTGTGGTTCTGAGTGCCTGTCACTCGGTGTCTCCCAGAACACACTTGGCACTGGTATGGAGACTCGTGCTGTGGTTCTGAGTGCCTGCCACTCGGTGTCTCCCAGAACACACTTGGCACTGGTATGGAGACTCGTGCTGTGGTTCTGAGTGCCTGCCACTCGGTGTCTCCCAGAACACACTTGGCACTGGTATGGAGACTCGTGCTGTGGTTCTGAGTGCCTGCCACTCGGTGTCTCCCAGAACACACTTGGCACTGGTATGGAGACTCGTGCTGTGGTTCTGAGTGCCTGCCACTCGGTGTCTCCCAGAACACACTTGGCACTGGTATGGAGACTCGTGCTGTGGTTCTGAGTGCCTGCCACTCGGTGTCTCCCAGAACACACTTGGCACTGGTATGGAGACTCGTGCTGTGGTTCTGAGTGCCTGTCACTCGGTGTCTCCCAGAACACACTTGGCACTGGTATGGAGACTCGTGCTGTGGTTCTGAGTGCCTGCCACTCGGTGTCTCCCAGAACACACTTGGCACTGGTATGGAGACTCGTGCTGTGGTTCTGAGTGCCTGCCACTCGGTGTCTCCCAGAACACACTTGGCACTGGTATGGAGACTCGTGCTGTGGTTCTGAGTGCCTGCCACTCGGTGTCTCCCAGAACACACTTGGCACTGGTATGGAGACTCGTGCTGTGGTTCTGAGTGCCTGCCACTCGGTGTCTCCCAGAACACACTTGGCACTGGTATGGAGACTCTGCTGTGGTTCTGAGTGCCTGCCACTCGGTGTCTCCCAGAACACACTTGGCACTGGTATGGAGACTCGTGCTGTGGTTCTGAGTGCCTGCCACTCGGTGTCTCCCAGAACACACTTGGCACTGGTATGGAGACTCGTGCTGTGGTTCTGAGTGCCTGTCACTCGGTGTCTCCCAGAACACACTTGGCACTGGTATGGAGACTCGTGCTGTGGTTCTGAGTGCCTGCCACTCGGTGTCTCCCAGAACACACTTGGCACTGGTATGGAGACTCGAGCTGTGGTTCTGAGTGCCTGCCACTCGGTGTCTCCCAGAACACACTTGGCACTGGTATGGAGACTCGTGCTGTGGTTCTGAGTGCCTGCCACTCGGTGTCTCCCAGAACACACTTGGCACTGGTATGGAGACTCGTGCTGTGGTTCTGAGTGCCTGCCACTCGGTGTCTCCCAGAACACACTTGGCACTGGTATGGAGACTCGTGCTGTGGTTCTGAGTGCCTGTCACTCGGTGTCTCCCAGAACACACTTGGCACTGGTATGGAGACTCGCATTTGTTCGCTAAAAAATAAAATAATTGTTTAAAATTGCAGAAAATCTAGATAACTGAAACATAAGCTCAAATGATGGTGATCTTTTATAGTGCTTTTGACGTGGTGATCCTGCATGATGGTGGTGACTTGACATGGTGCTACTGGCCTGGTGATCCTGCATGATAGTGGTGACTTGACATGGTGCTACTGGCCTGGTGAGCCTGCATGATGGTGGTGACTTGACATGGTGCTACTGGCCTGGTGATCCTGTATGATGGTGGTGACTTGACATGGTGCTACTGGCCTGGTAATCCTGCATGATGGTGGTGACTTGACATGGTGCTACTGGCCTGGTGAGCCTGTATGATAGTGGTGACTTGACATGGTGCTACTGGCCTGGTGATCCTGCATGATAGTGGTGACTTGACATGGTGCTACTGGCCTGGTGAGCCTGCATGATGGTGGTGACTTGACATGGTGCTACTGGCCTGGTGATCCTGTATGATGGTGGTGACTTGACATGGTGCTACTGGCCTGGTAATCCTGCATGATGGTGGTGACTTGACATGGTGCTACTGGCCTGGTGATCCTGCATGATGGTGGTGACTTGACATGGTGCTACTGGCCTGGTGATCCTGCATGATAGTGGTGACTTGACATGGTGCTACTGGCCTGGTGATCCTGCATGATAGTGGTGACTTGACATGGTGCTACTGGCCTGGTGATCCTGCATGATAGTGGTGACTTGACATGGTGCTACTGGCCTGGTGATCCTGCATGATAGTGGTGACTTGACATGGTGCTACTGGCCTGGTGATCCTGTATGATGGTGGTGACTTGACATGGTGCTACTGGCCTGGTGATCCTGTATGATGGTGGTGACTTGACATGGTGCTACTGGCCTGGTGATCCTGCATGATAGTGGTGACTTGACATGGTGCTACTGGCCTGGTGATCCTGCATGATGGTGGTGACTTGACATGGTGCTACTGGCCTGGTGATCCTGCATGATGGTGGTGACTTGACATGGTGCTACTGGCCTGGTGAGCCTGTATGATAGTGGTGACTTGACATGGTGCTACTGGCCTGGTGATCCTGCATGATAGTGGTGACTTGACATGGTGCTACTGGCCTGGTGATCCTGCATGATAGTGGTGACTTGACATGGTGTTACTGGCCTGGTGATCCTGCATGATAGTGGTGACTTGACATGGTGCTACTGGCCTGGTGATCCTGCATGATGGTGGTGACTTGACATGGTGCTACTGGCCTGGTGATCCTGCATGATAGTGGTGACTTGACATGGTGCTACTGGCCTGGTGATCCTGTATGATAGTGGTGACTTGACATGGTGTTACTGGCCTGGTGAGCCTGCATGATAGTGGTGACTTGACATGGTGCTACTGGCCTGGTGATCCTGCATGATAGTGGTGACTTGACATGGTGCTACTGGCCTGGTGAGCCTGCATGATGGTGGTGACTTGACATGGTGCTACTGGCCTGGTGATCCTGCATGATAGTGGTGACTTGACATGGTGCTACTGGCCTGGTGAGCCTGCATGATAGTGGTGACTTGACATGGTGCTACTGGCCTGGTGAGCCTGCATGATAGTGGTGACTTGACATGGTGCTACTGGCCTGGTGATCCTGCATGATAGTGGTGACTTGACATGGTGTTACTGGCCTGGTGAGCCTGCATGATAGTGGTGACTTGACATGGTGCTACTGGCCTGGTGATCCTGCATGATAGTGGTGACTTGACATGGTGCTACTGGCCTGGTGATCCTGCATGATAGTGGTGACTTGACATGGTGCTACTGGCCTGGTGAGCCTGCATGATGGTGGTGACTTGACATGGTGCTACTGGCCTGGTGATCCTGCATGATAGTGGTGACTTGACATGGTGCTACTGGCCTGGTGATCCTGCATGATAGTGGTGACTTGACATGGTGCTACTGGCCTGGTGAGCCTGTATGATAGTGGTGACTTGACATGGTGCTACTGGCCTGGTGATCCTGCATGATAGTGGTGACTTGACATGGTGCTACTGGCCTGGTAATCCTGCATGATAGTGGTGACTTGACATGGTGCTACTGGCCTGGTGAGCCTGTATGATAGTGGTGACTTGACATGGTGCTACTGGCCTGGTGATCCTGCATGATGGTGGTGACTTGACATGGTGCTACTGGCCTGGTGAGCCTGCATGATAGTGGTGACTTGACATGGTGCTACTGGCCTGGTGAGCCTGCATGATGGTGGTGACTTGACATGGTGCTACTGGCCTGGTAATCCTGCATGATAGTGGTGACTTGACATGGTGCTACTGGCCTGGTGAGCCTGCATGATAGTGGTGACTTGACATGGTGCTACTGGCCTGGTGATCCTGTATGATAGTGGTGACTTGACATGGTGCTACTGGCCTGGTGATCCTGCATGATAGTGGTGACTTGACATGGTGCTACTGGCCTGGTGATCCTGCATGATAGTGGTGACTTGACATGGTGCTACTGGCCTGGTGATCCTGCATGATAGTGGTGACTTGACATGGTGCTTCAGACATAACTGATGGGAGCGTGACGCTGAGGACATCACATACCTGAGTGTTGGGACAGAGGGACAACATTGGCACCAGCAGGAGCCCCTATCACCACAACTACCACCATCACCAGCACAACTACCACCAGCACCGGTCGCCTGCTGCTTACGGACTCTCGAGCCATTATCTGCAGCAGTTGAATATGTAAACATAGTTAATTATCGACACATTTGGGTTCTAAATCAGTTTGACAATTGCAAATAAAAGCACAAAAGTAGCCATACTAACGTTATTACACGAGTCTTGGGTAGTAAGGAAACTAACCCATCTCTGCATAGTTTAGTTTAAGGTTTACCAGGAAGCAGCTCTCTTAGCGCACATCTCTGGTACATAGAGATCACAGGATCTTCTAGTATCTGTTTCCCAATTTTGACTTCTCTGTTTTGCCTCGTTTCATCGCAAATTGCATGATTGGTCTGTTTCACAAAGTTTGTTTTCTCTGTTGTGTTACTCATTTTCACCTATGCTAGTGGTTCATCTTCACCTAGCTAGTGGCTCACGTTCACCTAGCTAGTGGCTCACGTTCACCTAGCTAGTGGCTCACGTTCACCTAGCTAGTGGCTCACGTTCACCTAGCTAGTGGCTCACGTTCACCTAGCTAGTGGTTCACCCACACCTAGCTAGTAATTCACCTTCACCTATGCTATTGGTTCATATATATTCATGTACATTGATCAGGCATATATATATATATATATATATATATATATATATATATATATATATATATATATATATATATATATATATATATATATATATATATATATATATATATATGCCTCTCCAACTCAACCGACATAATCGCTTATGTGGAAATGCGTCTGAAGTTGAGAAATAAAATTCGCACATGCGTGAAGGTGAGAAAGTGTTCCGTTTACCTCTGTGATTTGCTCCTTACTGACTGCCGCCCACACTCTCAAGCACTATTTACGTGCTCGGAAGTTACCCCTATGGATGATTAGCTCAGTGATTGGTCGCCGCCGCCGCCGCTGGTGCCAGACGCGGTGTGTGATTGGTCGTTGTTGAGTGCATGTCTGTGTTTTACATTTCGACTCTTTTTGTTTATGTTTTTTTTAGTATTATAAATTTTTAACTTGTATGACTTCCCATTTCCCTTCCAGTTACTGTATCGTTCTGTTGGTTTATGTTCCTTTATGATATCGTAGTACTGTTGACCTCTGTTACTTTGATATCTTAGTATTGTAATCCCGTTAGTTTATATCCTAGTTTATGATATCCTAGGATAATGATTTTCTAGCACTGTTGTGATGACCTCTGTAGTGGTTGACCTCTTGTTACTTGATAATGTCCTACCTTGAAGAACTGATGGTGTCTGTTAATTTAATAAGGTTTAAAGATAAGGTTTTTAAAACCTTCTGTGGTGGAGGCTGACTCCATACACAGTTTCAAATGTAGATATGACAGAGCCCCGTAGGCTCAAGAACCTGTACACCAGTTGATCGACAGTTGAGAGACGGGACCAAAGAGCCAAAGCTCAACCCCCACAAGGACAAATAGGTGAATAGGTGAGTACACACACACACACACACACACACACACACACACACACACACACACACACACACACACACTCACTCACTCACTCACTCACATACACCCTATCCCGTCCCACACACACATACTCCCCATCCTGTCCCCCTCCCCCCACACACGCTCACCGTCACACACCATCCCCGTTTCCCCTCATCACTGTAACCATTTTCCCAATACACTGTCTTCAGCGTATAGTCACGCCATACCCATCTCCATTTACACACACACACACACTCCTTTCCATCTCCACCTGCACACACACTTTCCATATCCCCCTATCATTGTAACTATTGTCACTGCATGCTGTCTACATCACTGTAATCAAAGGTTTTACCCAGAATGCAAATCTGTCTTCTGAACATTCGTTTTGCATGTCAATACCTGAATACACTAATATTGCAACCCATCCTCCTGTTTAAATAGTAGTTTTTGTAACTATGGGCACCATAGTACAAAGATTGACGTACTTAGCAGTTATATAGTAGAATTTTGTACTATTCACTTTATAGTCTGAAAAAAACAAAAAACAAACAAATATTCCTGGACCTAGTATAGCACACACACATATATATATATATATATATATATATATATATATATATATATATATATATATATATATATATATATATATATATATATATATATATATTAGGCCTCAGATATCGTGTATTAAGCCTAGGAAGGTTAGGTTAGGTTAGATTTCTATTTATGTTGTCTTTGCAACATAAATAGAAAATCTTTTTCCGGTTTGTCCAAATTTAATAGTTCCGATTTCTTTTTAATTGCGTTGTACGTCGGTATGTGTACTATGGTCCTCATCGTTAATATAAGTACTTCCAAAACGGGAGGACGGGCTGAATATTTAAACAAATGCCAAAGTCTACGGACATTTGGTTGCACATTTCATATCCACCGACCTTGTAAAGGTGGGTATGGAGACCATTTCCCCTTCAAGTGGAAGGCATAGGGTTGACCCATGAGACCACCCCTATGAGACTATTCATAAAATCACCAATCACCACGCAAAGGTGCGTGAGACTGGCTCCAAGCATCATATTTCCAACTTTAAGCAGATAAAATTTCTCTATACATAAACTAGAGAGGGTACTGTGGCTGTATCCGGGTCTCTTTCCCCTTCACCTCTCTCCTAGTCTGCCCTCTCTCATCTCTTTCACTTCCCCTCCCCTCTCTTCACCACTCCCTTCTTATCTCCTCTCCATCTTTTTCCCTCCAACAATTCTCATCTCACGCCCTTCTCCTTTCCTGTCACCACCTTTCTCCCCAAGGTCCCCTTCTACACCCTCCTTCTCCCCTCTTCATCTTTTTCCGCCTCTCTCCTTCATTCTCTTCACACATCTGCACTACCAACCTCCCTTCTTCTGTCTCTTCCCTCACCCCTCTTTCTCTCTTTTATAATAATAATAATAGATTCCCAGAGGCATGTGGGTGATTGGCTGGTGGGAGGAGCCGCGCAGTTTTAAAATGTTCAACAAATATAATAGTTACCTGTTTGCTTTGAATCTGAGGAGGAATAGTGGAGTATCGGTCTTCAGCAGGAGAGGGCGATGGGAGGGGAGAGAGTGCTTATTGATGTTATGTGTTTTATGGTCCTATCACCAAAATAAGAATAGCATATATTTTTCCCCATCGGTAAATATTAATATATTACTATGAGAAAAATAATTTTTTTAGTTTTTTGTTTTCAAAATATTTAGCCAGCTGGTGGCCTGTGAGGGGGGGGGGGTCAGTATGTCACGGTGGCATGCTGTTTCCTCATGAATTCTGGCAAACCCGACCAGCCTACGAGCGTTCCGTACCCCTGACCGTTCCCACTGCAAAGTTGTGTTAAGACAGACCCAGGCGTCTGGCTTCCAACCTTGAACAGACAAACATACATTATTTTTTTACAGATATAGGTAGGGTACCCGGCAGTTTGCTGATTTATGTCTCTCTCTCTCTCCCCTCCTCTCCTCCCCCCCCCCACACACACAATTATGATTCTTTTCCATTATTCCTCTCTCCCTCCGTTCCTACCTTCCATTCTCCCTCTATTCCATTCTATCTCCCAGCGAGCAAGAGACATGCTCGAATAACGTTGAATCAACATGATAAATATCGAATCAACTTCATTGCCATTGATTCAATATCGATAACAGCATGAAAGTCTATTGTTAACACTATGGATATTCCAGGCTTCATAGGAGTGGTTGGTTGTCGCAATAGGAACCAGTCCTACTTAAGGAAAGGCATGGGGTCCACCACCCTACGATACCCGCCACACAATGACAGTTCATCCTGGAAAGTTGCACGAGGAGAGCCGCTAAAGCCTCGCCTCATACCTCGGCCAGACGGACACATATATTGACCTAGGCGAGGCTTGGTAAGGATTTTATTTTTATTAAGTATTTTACATTTTCATGTTTTTTATGATGAGCGATTTGAAAGTGTTTACAGTATTTGAATGCGGCAAATATTTAAAGTTAGTTTAGACTTATCTAATTAGAATTCATTGGCTAAGTCTTCAAATATTTAATTTGCCATGAATTGTTTAATATGTAGGCCTGTAATTTTTAAAATGATTGACAACTTTATTTGTGAATTGAATTATTGTGGCAACTTTGGTATGTAAAAATAACCCATTGACTTCAGCAAGGGATTGGTTTCTCTTAGTTTAAATGAATATCAGTTAATATTGGCATTAATTACTATAAAAACTTGCTATACTAATTTTTATTTATCTTTAAATAAAATACACAGTTAATAATATTTAGAGAGAGACACACAAGTATATAAATTGATGACATCACGGGCTCCGAGGAACTTTGAGTTCCCGGTTGTGTAGTCGAGAAAACCTGACGTATATGTGGTTTACGTAAAGCTGAGAGTGGTCGGCAGGTGTCGTGGCGGCGAAGGAATGTTATTAAGAAGACTTATGTTCGTGAAAGGTTTGTTGAATCAAGACGTAACTGCCGAGAAGGCGATAAAAATGAAAAGTGGAGAGCGATGGACCGTCCCGCTCTGGTGGTTCACTACGTCACATAGCCACTTTTCATGGTTTTTCCAAGCATTACATTTGAAGCTAATTAATCCGCTGTAACGCCAGTATTATGGTGCTATTTTAAATTGACACTGATGCACCTAAATTTTGAAGTTGTCGATAGAGTAAAAAAAAACAAATCCTGGGGAGCCGGCGTCAGGCATAGTATGAGGTGACAACTTGCCAACCACAGCACAGATTGCGGGTAGAAATAGCCCCTACGACACACGAGCATTAGGGTGGTTATTCCTTAGATAATACCAATGATATAAATCTTTATGCACCTTGACGGGCGCCAACTGTCACTGTACTGGAAACCAGATTTGAATGTTGAGAGACTACACTAGAGGTGATAATGTTGGCACTTCAACATGTGTATGTAACCTCTGTGGTGCTTGACATCCCGCTCTGCTCTCTGTTTGCCTCTGCTGATGATGGGGTTTTGAACAATATAGCCAGAGTTGCAGGGATTTATTACTCAGGGAAATTATGTTTTCGGAAACCAATTGTGAGCTGTGTGAGGCCTACAATTGTGAGCTGTGTGAGGCCTACAATTGTGAGCTGTGTGAGGCCTACAATTGTGAGCTGTGTGAGGCCTACAATTGTGAGCTGTGTGAGGTCTACAATTGTGAGCTGTGTGAGGCCTACAATTGTGAGATGTGTGAGGCCTACAATTGTGAGCTGTGTGAGGTCTACAATTGTGAGCTGTGTGAGGCCTACAATTGTGAGCTGTGTGAGGTCTACAATTGTGAGCTGTGTGAGGCCTACAATTGTGAGCTGTGTGAGGCCTACAATTGTGAGATGTGTGAGGTCTACAATTGTGAGCTGTGTGAGGCCTACAATTGTGAGCTGTGTGAGGCTTACAATTGTGAGCTGTGTGAGGTCTACAATTGTGAGATGTGTGAGGTCTACAATTGCCGGGACTAAAAAAAAAAGTCAATATGAAATCTTGTTGGTACGCTGAATCCTCAAGAATCCACTGGAGTGAGGAACTTATGATGGAAAAAGCGCTAAGCCAGACAAGTATGGCTATATACTGCAGTATATAGCCATACTGGCTTAGTATATTATATATTATATATCCCTTGGAAGAGGTATGAGGACAGACTTGAGAAGAACTGGGATACGAGGGGGAAGGGAAGGATCAGGAGAAAGGGCCGAGCCATTACTCCTGTATAGAACTTGGAAGATATCAGGATAAGGATTTGGGATGGGACGGAGGGAAGGAATGGCGGTCAACCACTTGGACAGAAGTCCAGTTCACTTGGTTGGACACCATTTGATGAGGAAAGTGAATATAATTAACATTCTCGCCACTTGGCAGCTCTCACTGTATGAGTCACAGCGTGCAAAATATGGCATAAGTCAGTTACATACTTCTTGAGGCTTTCTCTCCCTCCTCCCCTCCCCCCCGCCTCTCATAGGCCATTTACTGATTTTCTCCAGGATGCTACCCACAACAGTTGTCTAGCTCCTATAGGCACCTGTTCACTGCTCGCTGGATAGAGAAATCAAGGTGAAAAGAAGACTGCCCGAACCTTACTCTCCTGCCGTAGGGAGTGAGCTCGGGATCTTTAGGGTGTATAACGGGGCTGCGCTCACCACCACGACACAAGACCTCGCTGTACTATGCATATTGTGATTGATGTACATCGGTAAACGTTCATTGATGACGTAGTCATCAATGTTATGTAAGTCGGTGTTATGTAAGGGTTAACATCGCAGTCGATGTTATGTAAGGGTTAATTGATGACGTAGATGATAGGTAAGGGTTCATTTATCATATAGATGGGAGGTAAGGGCTCACTGATAAGCTCTTACCTTAAGAGTTCATTGATAAGGCAGTTGATGACAAGGTTAATAATGTTTGGTAACGGTTTATTGATAAGGCAGTAGGTGTTAGCTAAGGGTGCATTGATAATGCAGTAGATGTTAGGTAAGGGTGCATTGATAAGGCGGTAGATGTTAGGTAAGGGTTCATTGATAACGCAGATGTTAGGTAAGAGTTTATTGATAACGCAGTAGGTGTTAGGTAAAGGTTCATTGATGACACCGTGACATATCTGCAACACATCAAATATGTTACAACACTACTCGCGCGCACGAAATGATACATAAATACAATTTGGTAGACTGATAAGTAACTTTATTTGTGCTCAAGTAGGTACAAATATGAATCAAATATGTGGTTGTTTAATTGACAATCGGACGGATAAGACTAATACAGACACAACTAAATTACAAATCGGAGATAATTGAATTTCTTGAAGATTACAAATGTGTAAATATTTAATTCAAAATGATGTGCCGCTAGAAATCTTAGCCAACGATCCGAAGTTTGTTTACTGTAGGGACACACAGAAATCACAATAGCGTGATGCATCAAATGAACAAATCCACAAGGACCGTGACGAGGATTCGAACCTACGTCCGAAAGCATCTTTTGACCAATTCAATTCTTTTCCAATGCTTTGACCAATCTTGCAATTCTTTTGACCATGTCGTAGCTCAGTCGATTAAGGCAGCGTCTGGGGGGATGCTCTCGGACGTAGGTTCGAATCCTCGTCACGGCCCTTGTTGGATTTGTTCATTTACTGTAGGGAGTGCGTGCAGATGACTGTAAACATTAGATTAATATATAAATACTACTATCAATACGGTGCTGATGTCTATGAAAAAGAAAAGGAATGCAAATTATGTAGTATAGCGAGGTCACTATGTACTAGTGCGGAATATTTCTGGTTGTTCATAGTGCGGTTGATAGCTATGATCTAGCTCAAGAGGTCGGAGGTTCGAGGCTCCTAAGGACCAAGTGTATGAAATACTATTACCTATCATTATTGTCGTTGAGAATTTATATATATATGTTGTATCTAATAGGCCAAGTTGCCTAAGATGCCGAGTTTTTCTGAAATTATATATTTGTCTAATTTTGTTTTTTTATGGAATGATGAAGCTTTTCATTATATTATATGTGATTTAATTTTTTTTAATTTGAGTTAAAACTAGCATAAAAATTTGATCAAACCTAACCTAACCTAACATAACTAAGTAATTCATGTTCTTAATATAATATAATAATATTAATTAAAATAAACCAAATTGAAAATATTAAAAAAAAGGAAAATCACTCTTACATAAGGCAAATCAGCCCTTCATACTAGGCCAAGTAGGACGATCTGGCTATTAGGTACGCAGGCTAATAGCCAGAATGTACGTACGTTATGGCTATTATGACATATATTTTAATATGCAATTCTGTTTAGAGTAACATTAATTAAACTTAAAAAGCTTGATCTCTGGCGATCCGTTGTCTGTTCGAAAAACTGATCCTTGTTATTTTTCTTCACAACAACATAAGCCGGAATTACCAAAGAAACACCACATCACCTCTCACTCCTGCGTGTTTCCATTACAATGTAGATTTTTATGTGTATTCTGCGGGATGTATTTTGAACAATCCTCAACCCCTGTCACAGTGGACTATCAGCGTCAGGACCTCCAGAACGAAGCAGAGCCCAGCGAGGGCGAGCCCCAGCAGGAGTAGCATGAAGGCTCCCTGCAGGTGTGTGGTGGTGAGGGCCCTCAGGCTGCTGCCAGACCTTGGTTCCTGCCCTGCTGCCTTCTGCTGCCTCTTACGACTCTTCGCCTGAGCTTCGGAAAGTAGGTCAGTGCTCCATTTCTCGTACAGTCCACCCTGTTGTAAATGTAAGATTGTAGTTGACTTACACACACAAATCACAATTGCGAGATGCATCAAATGAACAAATCCACAAGGGGCGTGACGAGGATTCGAACCTGCGTCCGAGAGCATCCGGACGATTAAGGCAGCGTCTGGGATGCTCTCGGACGCAGGTTCGAATCCTCGTCACGACCCTTGTAGATTTGTAGTTGCCTTGTTTTGTGTGAGTTGTTGTTGTTGTTGTAGATTTAGCTACTCAGAACGAAATGTCCATGTAGCACGGGCTAGGGCGAGCCCGTAATCTGTGTGTGGTGGCATCTTGGTTATATACATATGTATATTATATGTGAGGTGCTGAGGTGGAAAGCGCACAAATTCCGCGAATATATGTATATACCTCTTCTACTGAGAGGGACAAGCGGGTGCATGTATAAATCGTACGTATCGACGAAGAGAGAGAAACTGTTGATGTAATACAGGTGAAATGTCGTGTATTCATCAAATGCTTATAGTATTAAATGTTTACATAAGTAATAGACATATGTTTATTAGTCGCTGCTACCCCAAACTACGGACAGTAAATACATCCTTTGTGACTTGTGACCTATGCCATGGTACTTGATTGTGATCTTTGAAAGTACTTGATTGTGATCTTTGATACCAATAAAACATTGATATGAAGCTGTTACTGTCATATTACTTGCCACCGAAGTTACAATATACACAAGTATCACTGAGGTTACATGATGTTCACATATTACTGAGGTTACAGGATGTTCACATATTACTGAGGTTACATGATGTTCACATATTACTGAGGTTACATAATGTATATGTCACAGACGTTACAGAATATCTACATATTATTAAGGTTACATATTGTACACATATTACTGAGGTTACAGAATGAACAATGTTTTCTCCCTAATTAAAAGCTATTAATCCTTCAGGTCCGAGGCAGCCCTTGGAACGCATGCCAACGACTTCTTTTTTTCCGGCAAGTGAACCTCTCAGGGCTCACCTTAAAATATAAGTAGATAAATATTCAACTTCTTCGCTGAGATGTATATTTTAACTTGATAAAATGCAATTTTATTAAGTAGAACGGTTCCAAATACAAACGCAATATAGAAAAACAATGATAACTGTTTTAGTAACAATAAATAAATTAGAAAATGAAACAATTCTGATTCCTTCACCGTCATTGTAGCTAGGCGCCGCATTGTACTAGGCTAGGCGCTGCATTGTACTAGGCTAGGCGCCGCATTGTACTAGGCTAGGCTAGGCGCCGCATTGTACTAGGCTAGGCGCCGCATTGTACTAGGCTAGGTGCCGCATTGTACTAGGCTAGGCGCCGCATTGTACTAGGCTAGGCGCCGCATTGTACTAGGCTAGGCGCCGCATTTTACTAGGCTAGGCTAGGCGTCGCATTGTACTAGGCTAGGCTAGGCGCCAATTGTACTATTTTCTGGTGCTTGCTTGCCCACGAACCGGTTATCATAAAACGTTTTAGGTGTATGCAGAGAGTGATTGTTGATGTAATTTTCTGACCTATGTATTAATCATAATGGATTAAGACTAAATGAATGGCTTTAATTTTTCTTTTATTGTGCGTTAGCTAAGTAAAATGTTTATACGACTGGGCACTGTAATGTATTAGGAAAACTTGAACACTTAAGGCTGATTGATCAGATATGAAAAAACATACAAAATCTGAATTATTGTTTGAGAATTACACTTAATGGCTAATATAAACATATCCACGTTCTCATTATGGTGGAACGACCTTTAAGTAAAAATTCCGTCACTAAATTGTACATTCCTTCATGCTTACATGACTTACAATATTCACTCTTGGAATATTTGTTGTTTTTACCCCTCTAGTGTGATTTTTGTTTAGTATTTGAAGAGGTTATCCCAATACCTTAAAGACACAACATAATATGTTCCCAAAATTTCGCACGGCACACGAGGAAATTTTGCGTAATTTTTTTACGATTTTTGACACACACACACACACACACACACACACACACACACACACACACACACACACACACACACACACACACACACACACACACACACACACACACACACACACACACACACACACACACACACACACACACACACACACACACACACACACACACACACACACACACTCACTCTCTCTCTCTCTCTCTCTCTCTCTCTCTCTCTCTCTCTCTCTCTCTCTCTCTCTCTCTCTCTCTCTCTCTCTCTCTCTCTCTCTCTCTCTCTCTCTCTCTCTCTCACACACTTCAGAAAGGTAGCCCACCGCTGCCCTAGATAGTGTCCCTGCCTACATAATTTCTCATTGTTGGGGACAGAAAGCCTAATTAGGCTTATCGAAATCACCTTAGGCCATCTACTGACCTTCCCTACGATGCATTACTCAACGGTTGCCTAACTCCCAGATACCTATTAACTGCTAGGCGAAGTGGCAGCAGGTGTTGAGAAACGTTCTCAAACACGCCGTTCTCTCATAGAATCGAACGTGGAGTTATTTGGCGGAGAGCCAAGTGCTCTCACCTCTGTACTACAGGGCAATAATTCGTAACGAAAGATGCCCTTCGTATGAAACTACATATCACTTGACCTAGTTACACTGGAAACAAATACCTAACTACTAAGTTACACTACATTAGAGGAACGTACACAATGCATTATAATAATTAGAAGAACGTACACAATGCATTATAATAATTAGAGGAACGTACGTACTGTATATAAAGTACTTATTTGTTTGAATGAAAATAGTATTCTTCGAGTTAAGAAGTTTCCTTGCAGGCACTGACCTCGACGACAGCCATGAGACAGCGGTCTAGGTTGGGCCCGAAGGGAGCATCATGGAGCACCGGCCAGGCCGACTGCCCAAGAAGGACGCTCTCCCGGCCGATGTAGAGCTTGGCGCTGCCGTCCGCCCGGGTGAAGAGCTCTGCGATCTTCAGCTGCTGGTACCGCCTCGTGTCCAGGTGTGCTTGTCTGTGTACGTGGACGAGACACCGCGAAATTATTTCCAAACCTTAACTGTTTATTAACTTGGAAAAGTAGAGGTCTGGGTTTGTGTTCAAATCCTATACTAGACGATTCGACAAAGCTCATTTTCCGCTTGTTAAAACCGTATATATTGTTAGGTTATAATGTATTAGCTTAGGTTATGTTAGATTCGGTTAGGTTAGGTTGGTTAGGTAGATTTTAAAATCAGTTGGCGAACCGTCTTGTGTGGGATGGGAGGTATCCACGGGGTTCATCAAAACAATTGCTTGTCTGCCACCTCACAAGTCAGGAGCGGTGGCAGACGGCAGAAGAGGACTCACCTCTTCTCAATAGCCTGTTGTTGACCAATTTCTACTGACGGAACGATGTGCAACAGCTGCCCCAACCTCTGGAACACTGGCGAGTCAGACTTGCTGAAGAACGTCTTGAAGTCGGCTCCGAAGGATTGCATCGTTATCCTGTGTGGTAAAGGTCTCGTTATCCTGTGTAGTTATGGCCAGGGCCACATATCTTACGGTAAAAATAGTTAATGTGCAGGTTCAATATATTATTTTAACAATTCCCGTTATCAGGGACAGGAAGCTCCCACCTACGCTTATCGAGGTACCCTCCAAGGCAAACTCTTGACCCTCCACAGGATGCAACCCACAACAGTTGCCTAACTTTTCGAGTACCTATTTACTGCTAGGTGAATAGAGGACTCAGGTGAAAGGAAACGGATCAAAGGCATGTGTGCTCTACCTGTCTGCAGCAGTAACAAGCTGCTGGAGAGTCTCAGCTCGGGGCGGGTACTTGGGTAGCATGAGGAAGGCGGTGAGGTTGCCACGGTAAACCGTCCCTATGATAAGACCGAACACCAGCCACACCATCACCAGTATACGACAGGAGCTGGTGGTGGGCAGTCGTCGTGGCAGGTTCTGACCCAGCAACATCCCCGTCAGCTGGTGAACCACAACGCTGCCATCCGTCCGGTCCACGCCGCCTCTACGCTCGCCCGTACGAATAATCTGAAGCAACCACGTAATTAACGTTTCTAGATATACCCAAGCAGTAATGTAGGAATCTGAAAATATTACGTCAATTTCTCTCTTTTTTATTTAAAGCAAGAGTAGAACAATCTAATCGTTATGTGTCACCATCTGAACGCAATTGTCCTCAACAAGGCAGTGATGGAATTCACCAGAGCAAACAGGTTTACCCACACACTCTAACGAAGATAAGTCGTTAAAGTAGCTAGGGTAGAGTAGTTAAGAGTACCCGGCACCGCCTGTGTGCCACACAGTGGTCGGCACTCAGGGCCACCGAGGTATCGTCGGTGCCTAACTTGTTTGTTGCTGCATCTTAACATACTAGAGAAAATCAAACTGACTTCTTGCGCAAAGAGAGAAGTACTACGATTATGGAAGGCTGAGAAGGACTTACTGGACGTATACGGACTGGCTGAGAAGGACTTAGTGGACTTGTACATCCAGCGCAGGAAAGTAACAAAATTAACTAAAGCTGGTGTTTATAAATGAGGAATCTTACTCAGCCTTTAAATAATATGTATAGAAAATGACCCGAAGAAAATGGTACCAAGAAGAAAAGATAGAACAATGCAGAAAAAGGTAAACACGGAAGGGAAGGATAGAGGGAGAGAGATGAATTCGAAGTAAGGAGGAAGAAGTAGGTATTGTGGTATGAGTTCGGAATTCTCCCTATTTCCCAATGGCCTCAAAAGCAGCAAATCTAAAGAAGTGGCACAAAAGAACAGCAAGAAACCGATTGGAAACACCAAGTACCAGCAGAAGGTACCAAGTCTCAACACAAGCAATAAGTAAGGCTAAAATCCAACTACTTGCACAAGTTAATTAATTCTCGTTTACTTACAGAATATCAACATATCGGAAGGAAATATCTCTCGAACTTTACTTACGATAAGCAAGATGAGTGGAACAAGAAGCAGCGCCAGGAGGATGGCCGCCCACACCACGCCCGCGAGAGGGTAGTAGAGGGCCTGCCACTGGGGCCGGATACCCGGCTGAGCCATACTGAAGTCCAAGGACCCGTACTCGTACACCCAGGTGTAGTCGAAGCGCTGAAGACGCTCCGGCAACAAGTTGTGGAACACCGCCGCCAGGAAGGCCACCCGCTCCTCCACTCTCTGCGTCACCTGACTCGTAACGTACTTATTTAGCGTTTCTGTTTAGCACTCTATAAGTGACGCATAAATGTAAGTAATATACACAACACAAACATCAGCTATGTTTGATATGCCATTAAGGTTTTATTAGATACTTCTTTTAAGCTATTTTCGTGAGTTTAACTGTTGGAGACTATTCACGAGAGATAGATTCGATTATTATTAACATTACACACTTATATATTAATTAACTTTAATATTACACACACATACACACACAGACGCACGCACACACTAGGTGTAGCTGCAGTGTCGTGTCCTTGTGGAAGGTGGAGCTTATAATAGCAGTGTTGTGTTTCTAGTGAGAGACGACTTATTTCAAGCCTGGTATTTGTGTGTGGAAGCTGTGTCACTAACCTCCGGCCAGGAAGCCGTCGGCACCACGTAGATGGTGAAGTTTAAAGCCTTTGCAATGGATTCCAACGTGTAGTAGTCGGTGCCAGAGGACAGCGTTGTGTTGCCAGGGCCCTTCACCTCGTCCCAGTAGGGCGGGAAGGGCAGGGCGGTCACCTTCACCGCCGCACCGTAGAAGCTGAGGGCGGTAAGGGGGGTCACATTCAGACTGGCTTAGTGCTTTCTCCTTAGTTACCCTACTTCACCTTCCCTCAGAAATAAAAATGAAATAATTACTTTGAAAACTTGGCTGGGAAGAGGGAGCGAGCGGACGTCCAGACGAGGCCTGGTCCAGGGCCCCAGGTGGCCACCTTCACCACCTGGGCGCCCTCAGGGCTGTACGGCAGGTGGCTGTATACACCCACCCTGTCCACGGGGGGAGCATAATGGAGTCACTCACACTCTTCACATATTCATAGAAGTTTTTGAATCGTAATACGCAAACACTGACGATCAATTAGCCTTATAATTCGCAAAATATTACTTTTATCTATTTACTAGTTAAATCAGCACAAGTTTGGGTGATCAAATTGCACGTTACCCGAGGTTGGTGAACATGGGCTAAAGAGTGAACAAGATGGCGCACATTACCTGAGGTGGTTGAAGGTGGGCTCCAGGTTGAGGAAGATGGCGGCCATCATGGAGAAGGTCCAGTGGGAGGAGAGGAGGGCGTGGAGCTGTGTCAGGGGGAGACGAGTCACCACCAGCAGCTTGGTGTCCCACGCCAGGAGGCGCCCCTTGAGGGACCTCTCAGCGAAGGCGGCGAGGAAGGTGGTGTCAAGACTGACTACCACCACCCACACACACCATGACCCCAGTCGCACCTGGTGGTCAGCCAGGGAAGCTCACTGTAAACACTATATTAGCCATATTGTACACACAACCCCACCTGGTGGTCATCCAGGGAAGCTCACTGTAAACACTATACTAGCCATATTGTACACACAACCCCACCTGGTGGTCATCCAGGGAAGCTCACTGTAAACACTATACTAGCCATATTGTACACACAACCCCACCTGGTGGTCATCCAGGGAAGCTCACTGTAAACACTATACTAGCCATATTGTACACACAACCCCACCTGGTGGTCATCCAGGGAAGCTCACTGTAAACACTATATTAACCATATTGTACACACAACCCCACCTGGTGGTCATCCAGGGAAGCTCACTGTAAACACTATATTAGCCATATTGTACACACAACCCCACCTGGTGGTCATCCAGGGAAGCTCACTGTAAACACTATATTAGCCATATTGTACACACAACCCCACCTGGTGGTCATCCAGGGAAGCTCACTGTAAACACTATACTAGCCATATTGTACACACAACCCCACCTGGTGGTCATCCAGGGAAGCTCACTGTAAACACTATACTAGCCATATTGTACACAGCCCCACCTGGTGGTCATCCAGGGAAGCTCACTGTAAACACTATACTAGCCATATTGTACACACAGCCCCACCTGGTGGTCATCCAGGGAAGCTCACTGTAAACACTATACTAGCCATATTGTACACAGCCCCACCTGGTGGTCATCCAGGGAAGCTCACTGTAAACACTATACTAGCCATATTGTACACACAACCCCACCTGGTGGTCATCCAGGGAAGCTTACTGTAAACACTATACTAGCCATATTGTACACACAACCCCACCTGGTGGTCATCCAGGGAAGCTCACTGTAAATACTATATTAGCCATATTGTGCACACAACCCCACCTGGTGGTCATCCAGGGAAGCTCACTGTAAACACTATATTAGCCATATTGTGCACACAACCCCACCTGGTGGTCATCCAGGGAAGCTCACTGTAAACACTATATTAGCCATATTGTGCACACAACCCCACCTGGTGGTCAGCCAGGGAAGCTCACTGTAAACACTATATTAGCCATATTGTACACACAACCCCACCTGATGGTCATCAAGGGAAGCTCGGTGTAAACACTATACTCGACAACTTATATATACACACACACAGAAAGACAAGCGCTTCCTGTAAGCCAGTGATGTACTCATAAATGTAATCATAGGATGTACACTGAGCCGTCTTAACACACGGGCACATTGGACTGTTGCCCAGGAGCCCCACGATTCTAGGGACCCCATGCTGCCATATTGTTTATTGGATATCTCTTGGCAGAGTGGATAATTACTCGACTTTTCGCTGTATAGGCCTGGGGATTCAAATCCTTTCTTCAGATTATGTTTATAATATAAACATATTATACTCGCACATATCAAACATTTGTGCAGAACTATGTGAGGGGCAATCCTGTAGTTTAGCGGCCGGGCGGGAAACATCATCTGGGTAGGGACCCCAGTGCCCATCATCTGGGTAGGGACCCCAGTGCCCATCATCTGGGTAGGGACCCCCAGTGCCCATCATCTGGGTAGGGACCCCAGTGCCCATCATCTGGGTAGGGACCCCAGTGCCCATCATCTGGGTAGGGACCCCAGTGCCCATCATCTGGGTAGGGACCCCAGTGCCCATCATCTGGGTAGGGACCCCAGTGCCCATCATCTGGGTACGGGCCCAGTGCATCACTGTGATGGCCTGCAATACTGCCAAGACGGCTCTGGACGTGCGCTCCACATTTTAGCCGGCATGTACTCGTTTTATTTGTTTATACTAACAATTTATTCAGATAGCATCGAGGAACTTAAATTATTCAAACACCTCAGTCTGTGTAACGATGTTCATACAAGTATACAAGTACTCAATGAAGTACAAGTACTCAATTGGGTCTAGGGAAGGGGGGGGGGAGGTTGATCCAGTGTCCTCATTTATGGGGATGGTTCCCGCCATGATGGGGAGGATATTTAACTATAGAAAGAAGGACTTCTCTCACACGCCTTCAAATTTATTTCTAATTAGGTGAAGTCGACCTATTGGCCAGCGGCTCGACCAACGAGCCGAGTCTCAGGATCCAAATTTCCCCCACTAGGAACCCACCATTGGCGGAGGTGGTGGGTTCCTAGTGGGTTACGCCCCCGATGGGTTACGGTCGTAGCCTCCAGAGACGTCCAAAGCCGCTGAAGAATCGCGAAAGCTATTATTTCAATGTCCAGTTGCTGTAATTATATCACTGAGATGGAGAAACACGGATGTATCGTATCTTCTAGGGCGAGTTACCAGGTCACCGGCGGACCAGTAGGGACCGCGGCAGGAGCCCTCGTGCAAGCAGAAGGAATTGTTGTAGGTGCACGCAATTATCGGCTTCTACCTTTGTTCAGTCGAGGTTTTTTTACTAGTGTTCGAGTCGTCTCAAAAGTTAACTTGTCGTGGAGTGACCCTCATATCACTTCACTCCCTCAACGATGTTTGTTTAGCATAGTTGACGGGATACTTTTGTCATCGCTGACTCAGGGATATTAACACAATTGAGGGGACACTTTTGCCGTCAAGAATCAGCTAAATAAATCTGGCCAATCTTACAGACTGATCAAACCGATTCCTGAGAGCATTAGTGTCACTTGACTCAGTTTGTTGGTGACACGATCACTGACAATATAATGATATTCCCGTTTACTTTAAAAACATAAATGACAAACATATAGATCAATATACTCGGTGTACTACCTCCAGCAGCCACAGGAGTAGTGATCTATCTGCCCGAGCAGAAGTGGCCTATGTAGTAGTGACCAACCAGCTTCACTAATAATGACCTGCCAGTGTCACCAGTAGTGACCTGCCAGTGTCACCAGTAGTGACCTGCCAGTGTCACCAGTAGTGACCTGCCAGCCTCGACCAGTAGTGACCTGCCAGCCTCAGCAATAGTGACCTGCCAGCCTCGGCAGTAGTGACCTACCCGTCGGGCCTGGAGGACCAGCTGGGAGAGGAAGGTGCTCGTCCTGTTGGCGTCCAGACCGTCCGTCCGCGCCTCCAGCACCCCCGCGCCCCAGGGACACCCCCGCCACGTACTCAGCACCTGCCAAGGACACATTCAATACAAATATTGCAACATGAAATTAAACTATAATGCAGAGATACTGTCACATTCTGATATATAAATAATATGACTGGATCTGATCTTGTTAAATCACTTGCTGTAATTACTAACTGCAGTAACGTATTCATCATTCTTAGAAACATTATGAGGATAACTTTAACACTCAGTGCATATTACAAGAAGAGAAGAATATTTAAGAATATACAGTAAATTTAGGCTATATAAGAACATGCAGCAGGTGGAGCTATGCAAGAACATGCAGCAGGTGGAGCTATGCAAGAACATGCAGCAGGTGGAGCTATGCAAGAACATGCAGCAGGTGGAGCTATGCAAGAACATGCAGCAGGTGGAGCTATGCAAGAACATGCAGCAGGTAGAGCTATGCAAGAACATGCAGCAGGTGGAGCTATGCAAGAACATGCAGCAGGTGGAGCTATGCAAGAACATGCAGCAGGTGGAGCTATATAAGAACATGCAGCAGGTGGAGCTATACAAGAACATGCAGCAGGTGGAGCTATGCAAGAACATGCAGCAGGTGGAGCTATGCAAGAACATTCAGCAGGTGGAGCTATGCAAGAACATGCAGCAGGTGGAGCTATGCAAGAACATGCAGCAGGTGGAGCTATGCAAGAACATTCAGCAGGTGGAGCTATGCAAGAACATGTAGCAGGTGGAGCTATGCAAGAACATGCAGCGTGCTGAGCTATACAGGAACATACAGTAGGTGGCGACCACATAAGAACATACAGTAGGTGGCGACCACATAGAACATACAGTAGGTGGAAACCACATGGAACATACAGTGGGTGGAAACCACATAACATATAGTGGGTGGAGTCTACACAAGACTAATCACCTCGAAGATGGTGGATGGTGAGGCGGTGCCATCTGAGAGGAGGATGAGAGAGCAGGTGGGTTGAGAGGCAGCCTCCAGCACCGCGCCCACTGCACCACCTGCCACCGACAGCAAATCCACCGCTTCTTCCAAAACTACAGGAAATACAATTTTAAAATTACACTGGGGACTAGTTACCTAGCATGGGGGCTGCTGACCCTAGCACTGGGAGGTCATTTATCATGGGAGAGGTGATGGTGCGTAGGGACAACGAGTCAGCAAAGGCGACCTCATACCTGGGGCCTGGGGCAGAGGATGGGAGCTGGCTATGGTGTTGAGAGTGAGTACTACCAGCCATATCCTTCCCAGGCCGCCGCCGCCACCACCGGCCAGGCGCTCGCTAGTCATCGTCTGGTCAACGCGAGTCAAGAACTGCAGGTCAAGAAGATAATATTTTTGGATTATTCAGATAACTACAATCGGGTAACTACAATCGCGTAACTACACACAGTTAATTACACTCTGGTAACAGATGTACTGATATTCTTCCTTCTTTCAGGTGTGTGTGTTGTCTGCGAGACGGATGTGTTATGTGAGAGACAGGTGTGGATTATACGGATACAGGTTTGGAGGACTGAGGAGGTGTGTAAACGTTGGCCAGGTGTAATGAACATACGGCAGGTGTGGAGGCCCAAAGGAAGCATGGGATAGGTGTGAGGGAAAGCAAGGCAGCTGTGGAGGATGCAGGGGGAAGTGTGGAAGATGCAAGCACCAGCTATGGAAGCCGCGGGACAGGTGTGGGTGACGCAGGGCAGGTTTGGAGAATACAGGAAAGGTGTGGAGGCTGCGGGGCAGGTGTGTTTGATGAGGGGCAGATGTGGACGATGTAGGGAAAGTGTCGTTGATTCAGATCAGGTGTTTTAGGATGCAGGTCAGGGGTGTAGTATGCAGAGCAGGTGTGGAGGATGAATGGCAGGTGTATGGGATTCAGGGCAGCTGTGGAGGGTATAAGGTAGGTTTGGATGATGCAGCCCAAGGGGGAAGGGAGGATGCAGCGCAAAGAATGCATCAAACGTCCTCCAGCGACGGCGTGGAGGACACAGTGCAGGTGTGTGGAGGACACATGGCAGGTATGGAGTACACAGTGCAGGTGGGAATACACATGGCAGGTATGGAGAACAAAGGCCAGGTATGGAGAACAAAGGCCAGGTGTGGAGGACGTAGGCCAAGTGTGGAAGACGCAGGGCAGGTAATACAGGACGTAGATCAGGTATGGAGACATCACCTCCGACACCAACATCGTGATGCACCTAGCACAAGAGCCCCGTGTGAAGGGCGTCTCACCTACCCGTCCAGCAGCAGCTGCCCAGAGGACAAGTGACACTCCCGCTGCGCCGTCTCTCTCTCTCTCTCTCTCAACGGCTCCCTGACCGTTATTTATGTGGCGATGAACTATTCTGCGATTGGACGACACCCGCTGATGTTATCACCGATGTCAGATGTGATTGGTCGATGGAACTGCGCAAACTCAAGCCTACAGTATCCGGTGAGTGTTTGATAAGTAAAGATGTGAGGCTGTTTTTTTTTTGATACTTTGAATATTTCTGTGGCAAGCTGTTTGCTTTGATAACGAAATGAAATGCAATAATTTGCTCTGTGATTTTTGCTTCCCCCTATTTATGTTTACAGGAGCAAGCTTTAGCTCTTGGACCCCTCTTTTCCTGTTCTAGGTTGTCTAATATGTTGTTTTTTGACCGATGTTTTATATATATATATATATATATATATATATATATATATATATATATATATATATATATATATATATATATATATATATATATATATATATATATATATATATGTCTCATTGAATATGACAGCATATTCCGTATTTGCTATTTTCTAATTTAGGGTTTCTATCCCTCTTACTAATGCTCTTGCATCAGGGTTCAGCTGGAAGAGGAGTTCACCAAAAGTCATTTGTTTTCAAGGTGAAGAAAAAAAATTGAATAACTGAAGAATGTATTACACTTATTATGGAATCGCACGACGTTTCGAACCTACATGGTTCATTCTCAAGTGATGTTACAGTACAGAACATTATATTTTATACTAATAGCGGGTCAGGTGAATACAAATGGATCGAACAATAGGGTCAGGTGTAAACAAAGGGGTATACATTGGGAAAACATGAAGGAGAAAAAAAGCTAAGGATCAGAAGGTTAAATAGGGTACACACAAAGATTAATCAAGCGTAGTGGGCGCTGTTTGTCGAGCAGTGTGTTCTATGGCATATATATATATATATATATATATATATATATATATATATATATATATATATATATATATATATATATATATATATATATATATATATATATATATATATAATATATTATATGTTGTGTGACGGAGCTGGTAGATCGTGACGCTGCAGTGTGTAGTGTCAGAGGTCAAAGTACGACTCTAGTTTATATAATGATATTCCCGTTTGCTTTAAAGACATAAATGAGAAACAAAATTTCGTTGATGTGGCATGCAATAGTTTGCAACCTGAAAGGAATGATTCATTGTTTGATAATGTTTGTTCTCTTCCGGAGTCATGTTACCGCTGTTGGTAAGAGTTCCTCATTACTTAAACTAATTAGAATTCTTATGGGTAATCTAATGGGCAGTCTTTTGAACGAGATAATTACTTACTGTTACTAATAGGTAATTTATAATATGCTAATATGGACAGGATTAGAGATGTGTTAAACATATAGTTGAGGAGTTTATTGAACAATCAACCGCAGAAGGTGATTCGGTGCTTTTAAAATGCTAAGCTAACCTACATACGTAAATACATACATACACAGATTTACGTATGCCCTACTTAAAGTGTTCGATGTGTCTTTTACATAGTGTCATTAATGGGCATTTACAAAGGTGAAATGTAATTCTGATCAACTTCCATGTATACTTTATACACATACATATACACACACACACACACACACACATACGTACATATACATATATACATACATATATACACACACATGCAGTCACATACATTTGTCTCTTTTACTCTGACAAGGTGAGATAGCTGATAGAGAAACTAGTGTGCAATTAAGCACTTAATCACTGAAGGTGATTAAGGTGCTTTTACAAGCTCAGGTTATATAGTTATAGTAACATAACATACATACATTGTAAAATTGATACATTACATGGTCAATCTTGGGTACAAGTCCAATATATCATCAAGTGTTCCAGTACTCATATAGTAATTACAGAGTTCAGCATACCTTAGCCCAGGAGGGCGAAAGTCAGTCAGTATGGGACATTCTACAATATAATGTTCAAGAGAGTGCATGGTTTTCTCTCACAAAGTTGACACATTGTGCACTAGACATTTGGGTTTTGAGAAAGCTGCCAGATACGTCTATATCCCAGGCGTATTCTGGCCACTATAGCATCACATTGCCGGGTTCTTGTTCTATTATTCCCATATGTGAATGTCTCCTCACGATATCTATCGTAATATTTAATGCTACAACTTTCAGGTCTTTGTGAATTTGTTAGGTCGGTGAGATCTTCATTAGATATTTGTTTAAGTATTCTCTTTGTCACTGCTAATGAAACACCCATATAAATTTCTACCACTGGTTTTCTACAGGCTGTCTTTGCAAGCATATCAACAGTGTCATGCCTTGAGATGCCAACGTGTGATGGTATCCATAGGAATTTAATTTCAAATCTGTTTTCTTTAGCAGCTAAAGCATTCATTCGAATATCACTATCTTCTGGGTGTCACTACTATGTGCGTTCAATGCCAGGAGTGCACTCTGCGAGTCACAGTATATAAGTCCACTGCCTTTGTCTTTTAAAAATTCAGTGGCAAGGTATATGCCTGCAAGTTCGGTTTGAGTTGTACTTGCCCAGTCATTGACGCGCTTCATTGCTGTATGTACGAGAGAAGATTGTTCAAATATATTACATGCACATCCGGTACATCGTCCACCTTCTTCTACAGAGCCGTCGTTATAGCACTGATGCACATCGTTACCCATACTCTGAGTACTTTCAGTGATGCTTTTCAGTGTTAACTGTTTTAATAATGTAGAGTGCACACTATATTTCTTGGGCGCATTTACAAAATCAACTGATAGATCCCAGTTATCCCATGGAGTAATTGGTTGATTAATCATTAGTTGAGTTGGGTACATATTTAATATTTTGATGAAGTTGGCTACCTTGTAGAACCAAAATACATAATCAGATTTCGTTCTTCTTCTTCTATAGACCTCAGGTGAGTGCAGCATATTAGAAAGTTTAGCTTGAAACTTCATGTGTTGTCTAGATCTACTCAATGCCTTCACTCCGAATACTGTGCTAATAGACAAAAATTCTCTCACTTATGCTATTAGGTATTTGGGGCGCAATGGCCGTCTAAATATGTAAAATTGTAAATATATTTCATGTTCATTCTGGTTTTATAGTAAATTATCTGTTATTAAAAACGTTTAATGATGGACTCGAAGGAGCGATATCGATCACAAAAATGGTCTGGTTAGTACGAACAGGGTTCGTACTAGTAGTAGTAGTTATATACAGTGACAACTTGCTCGTGTAGTGGAATGTCAGTTGTCTTTCCCGCAGAGTTAATGTAGGCAGGGAATATATTCCTTGTGTTCATGATGATATCCTCATAATGTACCCAGAGTTTGCCAGTGCGGACTACTTATCACATGCCTCTGTATGACTAACCATTCTGTGTGATGGGGATGTTTAGCATCATGTAGCTATTTTTTTTTGACACGCTGTACTCTCCTTTATATAGTCTAGGGTAGCTACACAAATGCAGATGTACCTAAATGTGTTAATAATATATATATATTAGTCTTTCTTTTCAACATATTTCGTTGAAAACGACAGAAAGTTTTATATTTATAATTCTGGCACGAATCTTCTCGATATTCAGGCGATGAGTCACAATAACGTGGCTAAAGTATGTTGACCAGACCATACATTAGAAGGTGAAGGGACGACGACGTTTCGGTCCGTTCTGGACCATTCTCAAGTCGATTGAGAATTCTCATCGACTTGAGAATGGTCCAGGGCGGACCGAAACGTCGTCGTCCCTTCACCTTCTAATGTGTGGTGTGGTCAACTTCTCGATATTCCTTATGTTTTCTTCACTGAAGCAGGAAGATTAAAAATGAACTCTCCAAAGTTCGTTTTTACGCTTTATTTGGGTCTGACGCCTAGTGATGCGTTTCATAAAGTCTCACATCATATTTTCAAAGACAAATTCTACTGTGTTAGCACCTGGTTATATCTTGTGGTGAGGTGGTAGGTGGCATGGATGAATGACAAAACATGGGGTATTAATTAAATTAATGGGGTAGTAATTTAATAGTGTGACATGTTGGCAGCTTATGGTCTTCTGGCTGCTTCCGTTCCTGTTGTAGAGTCATTCGGTCCAGCTTCTGCATTGGCCCGGGGTCTTGAAGTGGGTAGAGTGTAACTGTGTATTAGCTGGTTATTGATTGATGGTCTAGATTTCTTGATATGTGGCGCTTTACTGATGTACAATCTTCTATTGTCATTGTATCTATCAATTATTTCAATGTTGCTCGTCAAAATATCTCTGGTGTTGGTCTCTGATTCTGGATACCGAACGACTGTTGCAGTTGAAGGAAACTTTGTGGTTGGAGAGGGTAAGGGCTGTGGTGGTGGAGGGTGAGGGTTGTGGTGGTGGTGGGTGAGGGTTGTGGTGGTGTGGAGGGTGAGGGGTTGTGGTGGTGGTGGGTGAGGGTTGTGGTGGTGTGGAGGGTGAAGGTTGTGGTGGTGGAGGAGGGTTGTGGTGGTGGAGGGTGAGGGTTGTGGTGGTGGAGGGTGAGGGTTGTGGTGGTGGAGGGTAAGGGTTGCTGTGGTGGTGGAGGGTGAGGGTTGTGGTGGTGGAGGGTGATGGTTGTGGTGGTGGAGGGTGAGGGTTGTGGTGGTGGAGGGTGAGGGTTGTGGTGGTGTGGAGGGTGAGGGTTGTGGTGGTGTGGAGGGTGAAGGTTGTGGTGGTGGAGGGTGAGGGTTGTGGTGGTGGAGGGTGATGGTTGTGGTGGTGGTGGGTGAGGGTTGTGGTGGTGGAGGGTGAGGGTTGTGGTGGTGGAGGGTGAGGGTTGTAGTGGTGGAGGGTGATGGTTGTGGTGGTGGTGGGTGAGGGTTGTGGTGGTGGTGAAGGGTGAGGGTTGTGGTGGTGGTGGAGGGTGAGGGTTGTGGTGGTGGAGGGTGAGGGTTGTGGTGGTGGAGGGTGATGGTTGTGGTGGTGGTGGGTGAGGGTTGTGGTGGTGGTGGAGGGTGAGGGTTGTGGTGGTGGTGGAGGGTGAAGGTTGTGGTGGTGGAGGGTGAGGGTTGTGGTGGTGGAGGGTGAAGGTTGTGGTGGTGGAGGGTGAGGGTTGTGGTGGTGGAGGGTGAGGGTTGTGGTGGTGGAGGGTGAGGGTTGTGGTGGTGGTGGAGGGTGAAGGTTGTGGTGGTGGAGGGTGAGGGTTGTGGTGGTGGAGGGTGAGGGTTGTGGTGGGTGATGGTTGTGGTGGTGGAGGGTGAGGGTTGTGGTGGTGGAGGGTGAGGGTTGTGGAGGGTGAGGGTTGTGGTGGTGGTGGAGGGTGAAGGTTGTGGTGGTGGAGGGTGAGGGTTGTGGTGGGTGATGGTTGTGGTGGTGGAGGGTGAGGGTTGTGGTGGTGGAGGGTGAGGGTTGTGGTGGTGGAGGGTGAGGGTTGTGGTGGTGGAGGGTGAGGGTTGTGGTGGAGGGTGAGGGTTGTGGTGGTGGAGGGTGAGGGTTGTGGTGGTGGTGGAGGGTGAGGGTTGTGGTGGTGGAGGGTGAGAGTTGTAGATGTGAGGGTGTGGATAGTATGGTGTTGGTGAAGGTTCTGGCGTTAACCGTAGAGTACTGAGGTTAAGACGGGTAACAAGGTAGAGATTGTGGTTGTGTCGGGTGAGAGTTAGGTTGTCCCGGCTTGGTTGAGCTGTAGTTGTGATAGTCTAGTTATTGATAAAACTGACAAATTCACAATACCAATCATAATCACATTAAAATTCTTCGTTGACTGCATTGAATTACATTGATGGTTATTGGTGTCCTGCTCTTACTCATTTTAATATATACAATGATTATCAACTCATTACAATAACGATTAAATACTTTTTGTTCCAACACAGAAGTAATTTGACGAGAAAAGTCCTCCTTACCTGCCCGCCATCAGAGCAGTAGCGGCGCGCGCAGCTACCCCCGCAGCCAATGAGCGCCCATCGAGCCAACCTCGACCAATCATCATTCTCTCAGGTTACATAAAGTGAGCTCAATCGACGTGCAAACCTTCAGTTCTCTCGTGGTCTTTGCTCGGGTAAGTAAGTGAAAGCCTGCTTGTCATATTAGTATCCTATATCCATCAACAGCTGCAAATCCTGGACAGAAGCCATCTTTAATATAAGCAAGAGGAATAGATTATGTAAACACATAACATAACACACTTAATTGAGAATGAGACAAGTGAAAATACAATGCATACATTTAATTAATTCCACTTGTTGTAGGGTAATGACAGCATACGCAATGCCCTTCCTGCTAATTCTTTTTTTTTCAGAATACGTTTAACGTCCTCGAAGCTAATGCGACTAACTTGGTGCTGCTGTTAACTGCACAACGTGATCCTTGTTCGCTAATCCTCGCATCCGAGTATCTTCATGTGGATATACACCAAGATGATAGCAGAGTGATTTGCAGACATAAGGGATCTCACAGTAGTATCAGGGATCACTCGACAGTATCAGGTATCACACAGCAGTAACAAATTAAGACTCATACAGCAGTATCAAGGATCACACATCAGTATTTGGGGCTATTTAGTAGTGTCAAGGATCTCACATCATTATTAAACATCATTGCCAGTTCAATAAAATTATGTAAGGTATCACAATATGGAATGTCGAGGTGCCTTAAACACCACCCATCATGATTCAGTTATACAGAGTTTGATAAATACACAAATGCATTTCACTGGAACCACTGACGTCAATATACAAATATATTTCCCTACACAAGGTATCACTTAATGATACATCATACATCTGTGTGATGTATTTGTGTGTAAGTGAATAAATTACTCCTATTATGCATATCACAGACTCATATTTTGCACAGATATCTGCATAATAATGTGGCCATTCAAAGAGGAGGCATACTGTCCTATTGTGCTTGTAAAGGCTGGTAGGTTTTGTCAGAGGTATGGAGGGGGGGGGGCGAGGGGTGTTCCCCTGTTAACGTGTGTCTCCAAGCAGGTCAAGGTTTCTGTTGTTGTCCGGTCAGGTGTCCAAGAGGATGAGGGCGAGTGTTGTGCTTCTGACCTGCCTCATGGTCGACGCCGCCGCCAATACCTCCTCGGGTGAGTAAACAATGACTAATACTGTACCCTACTGTACCTTACTGTACCATGTAAAATCACCTGGGAGCTTCAGTACACTAACAGCTTTTGAACTACAACGACTCGCGTCTAATCACCCTATCTAGTTTCCTCTCGGTACCTCGCTTACAGGCAGCATTATTTACAGACACGTGTAGCCTATCCCACCATGAGCACAATAATGACGAGAGAGTCGCTGGAACTGAATCAGCAACATGGTGAATGCCACTCAGGCGCCATCCCCCCCTGAGCGAGAAACCTGTTCAAAACCTATTGAACCCCGGGGCACTTGTGTCTCCTCTAAGGGTTCTCTACGCCCCCACCTGTTGCCACAAACAGGTGAGGCCTAACGCATCCATAGAGGGTACAGTAGGGACCCGGGTTCAATAGGTTTTCAGCATGTCGTGGCTCAGGGGGTTTGGCGCGCCTGTGGCATTCACCATGATGCTGGTTCAATCATTGCTCGGATCCAGCGATTTTCTCATCCCGTCATGGGTTTTGTCCCGTCATGGGTTTTGTCCCGTCATGGGTTTTGTCCCGTCATGGGTTTTGTCCCGTCATGGGTTTTGTCCCATCATGGGTTTTGTCCCATCATGGGTTTTGTCCCGTCATGGGATTTGTCCGATCATGCGATTTGTCCCGTCATGGGTTTTGTCCCGTCATGGGATTTGTCCCATCATGGGTTTTGTCCCGTCATGGGTTTTGTCCCGTCATGGGTTTTGTCCCGTCATGGGTTTTGTCCCGTCATGGGTTTTGTCCCGTCATGGGTTTTGTCCCGTCATGGGATTTGTCCCATCATGGATTTTGTCCCATCATGGGTTTTGTCCCGTCATGGGTTTTGTCCCATCATGGGTTTTGTCCCATCATGGGATTTGTCCCATCATGGGTTTTGTCCCATCATGGGTTTTGTCCCATCATGGGATTTGTCCGGTCATGGGATTTGTCCCATCATGGATTTTATCTCATCATGGGTCTTTTCTCATACACATACACACATTTTCTTATATTACATCAATATATATATGTATGTATGTGTATATATATATATATATATATATATATATATATATATATATATATATATATATATATATATATATATATATATAGTGTTTGATATATATTATATCAAACACTATATATGTCTAAATCATTAAACAATATGTATTTATAAACCATCCCGCTCTCTAAATATTTCAACCGCCATAAAGCACTATCGCGCCTTATATTATACTAGCGACGTTCCCCGTGAACGGCGTTATGTTAAAAACATGTGATATAAACTGAATAAATTATTACAAATAATGCTACTGTCCGGGACATGACAAAGTTGAACATTTCAGGAATACCTTCATTTAAAATAGTGTGCGTGTCCTTGGGTGGATATGTGAGCGGTGTGTGTGTGTGTGTACTCACCTAGTTGAGCTTGCGGGGGTTGAGCTTTAACGTTTCGGTCCCGTCTCTCAACCGTTAATCTACTGTTGTACAGATTTCTGAGCTTCTCGAGCTCTATCATATCTACATGTGAAACTGTTTATAGAGTCAGCCTCCACCACATCACTTCCTAGTGCTAACTACTCTAACACTGAAAATGTTCTTTCTAATATCTCTGTGGCTCATTTGGGTACTCAGCTTCCACCTGTGTCACGTTGTGCGTGTACCACCCGTGTTAAATAATTCATCCTTGTCTACCCTATCAATTTCCCTGAGAACTTTGTATGTGGTGATCATGTCTTCCCGAGCTCTTCTGTCTTCTAGTGGCGTGAGGTACAGTCAACTCAGCCTTTCCTCGTAACTCATTACTCTTGCTTCTGGAACTAGCCTAGTAGCATACTTCTGAACTTTTTCCAGCCTCGTTTTGTGCTTGACAAGGTACGGTCTCCATGCTGGGGCCGCATACTCCAGGATTGGTCTTACATATGTGGTATACAAGATTCTGAATGATTCCTTGCACAGGTTCCTGAAGGCAGTTATGGTGTTAGCCAGCCTTGCATACACCGCTGATGTTATTATTTTGATATAGGCTTCAGAAGACAGGTTTTGCGTGATATCAACTCCTAGATCTTTCTCACTGTCCGTTTCGTGAAGGACTTTATCTCCCATTCGGTATCCTGTGTCTAGCCGCCTGTTTTCACCGCCTAGTTTTTTTTACCTTATATTTACTTGGGTTGAACTTTAGTACAACAGTCACACATTGTGTCCCTGACACGGATGCATTGGTCCCTGTTAGCTGACCTACAGCTGGTGAAATTTAAGAGAAAGGAATTAGGACTCTAAATCCATCGAAGTGCGAAATCATCCTGTCTAGCCAACCAATCATAGATGCTATAAGAACTGTCTTACAGGAGCCCCAGTGAGCGCCCCGACTGATAGTGTGATGCCCGGGGGCACCTTTGGGCTCGAATGTAATTGGTGTAGTCCTCGAAGAAAATCTGAAGGACAGGAGGAGGAAGGAAAAAAATATATATTGTTGATGCACACAATGCTTTGTACCTTCTCACATGTCTGGCATTGTCCAGGCTTACCTATTTCCCAACGTTTGCTCCCTCTTTCGATAGCCCAACATTATCAGTGACAAACGACAAACTCTTAAAAACAATAGCCATGAAAGTGTTGAACTTCTCCCTGAAAGATAGCCAATAGGACCAAATTAGATTCGGAGATATAGAGAGATATTCGGTAGAGATATACTCAAGGCAACACATGTAACATTTCCTACATTCTTTTCCGCGATCAGTGATGCACCTGAATTAATGGAATAGATCCTATCAGAATACTTAAGAAACTCCACTGGGATTCATGATTCCAAATTCACCGAAGGAGCCAGCCAGTGGGACACTTGCTGGCTCTTTACCACGACCAACTTCCAGACGACTACAAACAGGCCAAATGTGATAATCCCATAGTCAGATCATTGACTCAGTAATGCTGGAGGCAGCTCTGGGAAGGACAAAACACGCCTCCTAGCTGTGCATACTCCCCGTGCTGGGAACTTACCGTTGGCTATCTCTAATTCCGTCATGGGCACCCACCTGGACCATCAGGCTCCTAGTATTGGTGTTGCCCTGCGCCTTGCCGCCCCGAACACCGGTGTATCTGCGGCTATACGTCGGCAGACCAATACGGCAGCCATTGTCTCAGCTGTCGTAAGTCACAGAGAACGACTGCCAGACATGAAGCAGTCAGTGGCATCATCAAGAGAAGTTGAGCTACAGCTGGGTGTCCAGCACAAAGGGAACCTCAGTTGTGCAGACCTGACAACAGTTACAAACTCCCAGACGGAGTCACCCTGACGCCTTGGAGGGATGGTAAACAGGTCTTAATTACCTAAGTGTAATTATTGAGTGTAGCTACAGGATAAGAGCTATGTTCGGGGTGTCCCGTCTTCCCAGCACTCTATCGCATAACGCTTTGAAATTATTTGTCGCATAATGCTTTGGAATTACTGACGGTTTCGGCCTCCACCACCTTCTCACCTAACTTCTTTTAACCGTCTACTACTCTGCGAAAGGAGGAAAGTCGATCGTGTGGGACTACACGTGTGCGTCTACACTGGCTGACACCAATCTACCTTACAGTACAGCTGAGGGAGGCGGGGCGGCCACCTTCAGGGAGACCCAGAAAACTAACAAGTACAGGGACCTAGAACGTTGTTACAGGTTCGTGCCGATAGACTCTGACCCTGGGCGCCTGGGGTAAATGTGCAATTAAGTTCCTTAAGGAGGTGGGTGAGGAACTCGTTAGGAAAACCAGAGCCAAGAACGGTCAGTTTCCTGTTCCAACGCCTCAGTTTCTCGATCCAGAGAGGAAAGGCCTGTTGACCTAAGAGATTGAAATCATTCAATTGACCAGACTAATTCATGCAATATTGGTGTGAAATTCCGTGAGCGAAAGAAATATTATTAAATCTTCATTTACAATATAAAAGGTAGTGAATTAGATAATATTAATGTAAGTTCAGGATTGTATAAATCAGACAGCTTTATGCAGACGATGAGTCACAATAACTCTGCTGAAGATATGATGACCAGACCACACACCAGAAGATGAAGAGGCGACGACGTTTCGGTCCGTCCTGGACCATTCTCACAGTCGACTTGACAGTGGTCCAGGACGGACCGAAACGTCGTCTCCTCATCTTCTGGTGTGTGGGTTTGGTCACCAGACAGCTTTATAATTGGTAAGATTTGTGATCGGTATAAAATTATATAAAGAATGGATATATGTGCAGTTGACTTATTCCAAGAATTAAGGGATGGCCTATCAATGACCAATCATGTCACTTCCATTATTCGATATTAATTTTATGTTTCTTAAACTACCCTTGTGTGTGTGGGGTTTATATAATCCTTAACCAACTTATTTTCTTTCATCTATGTTCCTTAAAAATGTGTTGAAACGCGGAAAGTGCTCGAAATTTTCGTTTAATTTTTCCCTCTGTGGATGCTTACACATAACTGAATCACGTGTTTTTGTGATTATTCTTGAGGTGGAAGTTCTGTCATGGTGTTGATGACGGTAAGTGTAACGACAAGTGTAAATTGGCTGTTGATAGTTAGATGAGTGTGCTTGAGATGTAGTGGCTCGGCTATGTTTAATCTTCTATTATTTCTCTGTCTATTGATTTTGTTGGTGTTACATATGCTTCATGATCTCAGAGCACGAAATCAGGTTTCACCAAAAGACAGTCGTCTCGACTTATGATGTTTGAAACTCTTGTAAATAATTAAACAGGAGTGAAACTTATCATAACTGGCACAGCCCAAGGCCTGTTAACATGTGATTGATACAAAAGTTTCATAAGACCTTAACAATTTTGTCTTCAGATGCGGTGGACTTGCTGTCGGTGGCAGGTGGTGCAGTGGGCGCGGTGCTGGAGGCTGCCTCTCAACCCACCTGCTCTCTCATCCTCCTCTCAGATGGCACCGCCTCACCATCCACCATCTTCAAGGTGAATCGAATTTTGCCCAGAAGGGCGAGTTTATCGGGCAGCGTCTCTCATCCCGTGAGTGAGCATACCGTCATAGGGATAGTATTGGGCATAGGGATATAGTTATTTTATAGAATTCCATTTGGGTCTAACACAAAACATGAACTTTCGGAGAGTTCATCATTGTACATTGGTGCGCTTGGCCAAATAGTTGTTATAAGTACTATCACTTCAGGAGGCTGGGGTGTGGCAGCCTCCCCCCTACCCCCCAGGCCGGCCACTGTCTCGTGGTGCGGGGAACCGCTGCCCTTCCCAGGCAATGAACCGCAGAATGTGGCCTTTATTTATATATACAAGAGTTCTTACATTGGTGTACAGCCACTAGCACGCGGAGCGTTTCGGGCAAGTCCTTAAATAGAGAGTAAGAAGAATGTTTTTACCAGCACTTTTAGGGCCTTCAAGTTGTTGACAGTTTTGTTTTGGTCGGGGGACGAAGGGGTTTCTGTCCCTATATAGGCAGATTGGGTTAGGTTAATAATAACCTCACACAAGGCGATACCAACGGGTTTCTTCAGTCAGGATGACTGAAGGGCTCCCTAGGGACAAGGGGACCCTGTTTCTTGAATTATGGAGTCCCGCAAGGAGGTTATTATTAACTTAAGCTACTTGGGATGTGTAGTGACATTCCAATAGAATAGCAGCTGCAGGGTCAGGATACTATAACTCATACCTCCGGCTCCTTGGCTCCCTCCTCTTCGGTCACTTCCACACGAGGCGGTACCAACTACAATACAAACTCTTGTGCCATTTCGCACTCCAAGAATTCTTTATATTTTCAGAGTCGGGATTGTTCACATATGATTCTAGTGAATGAAATTCTATTCACAATATAGTGGTATCAGTATAAATAATATTGTTTATATTACATTTTGTGTTTTTGTACACTCACTCACTCACACACATCACTCACTCACTCACTCACTCACTCACTCACTCACTCACTCACTCACTCACTCACTCACTCACTCTCACCCAACTTCCTGACATTAAGCGGCAAATGTGGGTCACGGCGATCGTCGTTGATCATATAGAACATACAAACTAACTTGTGAATTGGGAAAAGTACTAAAATGGGTGAAGGAATACCGTTCAGCAAGAAAACAGTCAAAATCAGAATAGACTGGGGGAGAGGTAACGAGTGGAGTACCTCAAGGGTCGGTACTAGCGCCCATCCTTTTCCTAATATTTATGTAAACGATCTAACAGAGGAAGTAAGCTCATTCTCGACAATGTTTGCTGACGATGCTAAACTAATGAGGCCTATCAAATGACGAGGACTGCAAATATCACCAGACCAACTAGACAATCTCCAAAGATTGTTTGAGAAATGGCTACTAGATTTTAGCCTTGGGAAATGCAAGGTTTGGAGTTGATGCAAGAAAACCTCAAATACAGTACAGGATGAAGAGAAGACAACTTCCAACGTCTGAAAATAAAAGAGCCTTAGGAGTGGACATAACTGCAGACCCATAACTAGAGGCACACATCAGTCCAGGATTGCATGCGCTATGCATATGCCATGCTGGCATGCCATGGCATGACATGAGGACAGCATATGCCATGCTGGCAAACCTCTTGTTATCCTTCACGAACTTTAACAAAGGTCCAAGTTCCCTGTCGTAGCTCAGTCGATTAAGGCAGTGTCTGGGATGCTCCCGGACGCAGGTTCGAATCCTCGTTACGGCCCTTGTGGATTTGTTCATTGGACAAAGGTCCTTTCCGAGCGCTGTATACATCCTTTGTGAAATTCAATATGGAGTATGCTGTCCCGGCATGAAACCCCCTATCAAACCACAACTTATATTTTACAATTGCTTGTTTGATACAAAGAAGACTGATAATGGTCCAGGACGGACCCAAACGTCGTTGTCTCCTCAATTTCTGGTGTATGGTTTAGTCTTCATATCTTAAGCCATGTTATTGTGACTCCTCGTCTGCATTTAATACAAAGTTGTAACAACGTTACAACTTTGTCAAGTTTAATGAGGCAAGCCCCAAGTCTGGCCTCCAATATTGGGCAAATAGGCATTCTATTTTGTAGATATTGACAGATATTCTATTTTCTTCTGCAGGTGCTGAGTACGTGGCGGGGGTGTCCCTTGGGCGCGGGGGTGCTGGAGGCGCGGGCGGACGGTCTGGACCCCAACAGGACGAGCACCTTCCTCTCCCAGCTGGTCCTCCAGGCCCGACGGGTAGGTCACTACTGCCGAGGCTGGCAGGTCACTATTGCTGAGGCTGGCAGGTCACTACTGGCCGAGGCTGGCAGGTCACTACTAGTGAGGCTGGCAGGTCATTACTAGTGAGGCTGGTAGGTCACTACTGGTCGAGGCTGGCAGGTCACTACTAGTGAGATTGGCAGGTCATTACTAGTGAGGCTGGCAGGTCACTACTAGTGAGGCTGGTAGGTAACTACCATGTAGGCCACTTCTGCTCAGGCAGATAGGTCACTGCTCCTGTGGCTGGTAGAGGTAGAACACAAGAGTATACTGATCTATGTATGACACTGACAGTGGTCGTGTCACACTAACAAACTGAGCCAAGTGACACTAATGCTCTCAGGAATCGGCTTGATCAGTCTGTAAGATTGGCCAGATTTATTTATCTGATTCTTGACGGCAAACGTGTCCCCTCAATTGTGTTAACATTCGTGAGTTGTGTGTACAATATGTCGGGTCTAGTGTTTACAGTGAGCTTCCCTGGATGACCACCAGGTGCGACTGGGGTCATGGTGTGTGTGGGTGGTGGTAGTCAGTCTTGACACCACCTTCCTCGCCGCCTTCGCTGAGAGGTCCCTCAAGGGGCGCCTCCTGGCGTGGGACACCAAGCTGCTGGTGGTGACTCGTCTCCCCCTGACACAGCTCCACGCCCTCCTCTCCTCCCACTGGACCTTCTCCATGATGGCCGCCATCTTCCTCAACCTGGAGCCCACCTTCAACCACCTCAGGTAATGTGCGCCATCTTGTTCACTCTGGAGGCCATGTTCACCAACCTCGGGTAATGTGCACCATCTTGTTCACTCTGGAGGCCATGTTCACCAACCTCGGGTAATGTGCTTGCAGTGTGGATCATCGAACCACAGCACCACTACGAACACTACAATACAGAACCAACTCACAAAACCGTCACAGTAACCTACCACCCAGCCTCTGTGTTTCGTCTATACTCAGAAGACAATAATCTAAATCTAATTCTTATGCTTTATTTCTAACTCTGTTCTCGTTTTCTATATACTATTTATCTCGAAATTCAGAGGCTTTATTGTTTATTAAGTTTTCAAAACTTTTTGGGAATATCTCTTATTATCTACATTCCACAACATAATTTCTCTTAATGCCACACTCTTTCATTTTAAATTAGCATTGTAATAATTTAATATAATTAAATCTCGATTTATTTAGAATTTTGTGTTCACTCCTCAGGTTAGGCTTGTACAGCCACCTGCCGTACGGCCGTGAGGGGGCACAGGTGGTGCGGGTGGCCACCTGGGAGGCCAAGAACGGTCTCGTCCGCCACTCTCACTACCCACTTTTCCCTGATAAGTTTTCCAAGTGAGTATATTAGCTCTGAGTACGACCAGGTGTGTAGCAAATTACAGGTGCCTGCTCTGAAAATGAGTGAGTAGCGGCAACACCACCACCACCACCAGGCTACAGGTCTGGACAGAGGTCCGTCGTTGGTGACTGAGAGATTCAACATGCCTGGGTTTGGTGCTGTGCTGAACGGCTTCCAAGATCACAACGAGAACTTGCACGCCAACCAACAAGTATTCTAATGCTCTGAACTAAAATATACTTTATTTCTGAAGTAACACATACCGAGAAGTGGGATACACATCACTGAAAATATATCCCCTTGTGTGTACATTAGGGGAGATTATATATAGGGGGTACCACCTCTGCTTGTTTGTAGGGACCCATAAACCTCGAAGAAGACGATGTTGCTACTGGTAGCAATATATCTTCAGCAATAGCAATAAATACGTCTAAATAAAGTAATAGCAATAAAGAAGTCTGCTTTACTAGATCTCAGGATATCTCAAAACATGGTTGAAAAGGTAATTAAATAATTATCTCCCAGCTTACTAATTTTATCAATTATCTTTTATTTCCAATCATCGCCGTATTCACTGGAAAAAGAGAACATGCCTACTAAAGAATAATTGATGTCTCCAGCTTCAACGGGGCCAGGGTGAACGTGACAGCCCTGCCGTTCTTGCCGTTCTGGGGTGAGGGAGAGGTGGGTGGCGTGAAGGAGTACACTGGCTCCGACTACCAGCTGCTGGCGGCGGTGGCTGCCACTCTCAACTTCACCATGATGGTCTTGCCCAGTGACTCGTGGGTTCAGGTCAGCCCTTCCTCTCTTATCACTGTGGTTTAGGCTTCCTGTGTCCCTCTGCGCCAATAGCCATACACGATATGGCTACTTATATGACAATAGACATTGATTTTTTTTGTCAGATTTTAGGGTACCTCTCGTTGAATTAAATAGTTAAACTATGAAATTTGTGCTAGTAAAATTGGCTGTAAAAGTTACTATTCCTTCTCTCACAAACAATAAACGAAATATAGGAAATAAATGAAATACTGTATAGGAAAAATAAAACTTGATATTAGTCTCTCAGATTTGGTGTAAAATTTATTTTGCATCATAAAACGATCGTTCTTAAATCTAGGAACTAACAATGTGTTGAAGAGATGCTCAGCATGCAGTGTTGAACTCTTGTACAGATCCACTGCTTACACGGGCATAGCAGTTATTTAGGCTTAGGGCCAGGTACAAGAAATTGTTAACATAGTCACAACCGTGTACATGTGCAATAGTTATGTGTTTGTGTGTGTTGCCCGGGTCCAAGCTTGACTCTGGGAAAACCAGGAGGAGATAGACTAACGGTAGGACTTGCTCCCCTGTACAGGTGGTGAGTCAAGTGGTAGATAGGGTGTCGTTCATGGCCTCCGTCTACCACATCCTCCTTCCCCAGCGCCAGGAACAATACGACTTCACCTTCACCTACGAGTACGCATACTTCTCCTTCGCCATGGCCAAGCCCTCGCTGCAGCCCCAGTGGCAGAGCGTCTACCTCCCTCTGGCGACGGAGGTGTGGGCGGCTGTATTAGGCGTAGTGGTCCTTGTCCCACCCATCCTCTTCTGGGTATGATCTCTTATGTGAAAAGTCCCCTCTTACGTGTCGAGAAGATCTTTCTGTATCTATCTTTTCCCCGGCTATCTTTATTCCGTCGACATCTTCATGTCATCGATCGACATTGTTATATTCAAACTTATTGACATTTCTTAAATTGCCTGTAAATATCTGCTTCGGACTTTGCCACCACAGTTATTGCTCTCAGTTGATGGAGTTTTAGGTCGTCTAACGTTTGTTAAACAACTTTTAAGTTGCTTCGTAAATTTAAATGGCTGTATATTTCCTTAGTCATGCTTCGTATCCAATATTAACATAAAATGTACCATAAAAATTACCAAGTAACATACTGGAGAGCAGGATTAAATCGAGCAAAGGATCCAATAATCAACAGCGAATGTCGCCTGTTTCAGCTGAGGCGGGTCGGAGAGCACGCGGACGGTCGGGACGCAAGTGGTGTTGCGCATGACGTGGGTCGGGAAGCAAGCGGTTTTGCGCACGAGGCGGCTCGGGACGCAAGTGGTGTTGAGCACGGGGCAGGTCGGGATGCAAGCGGTGTTGCGCACGACGTGGTGGGCCTGCTGGTTGGTCAGAGCCTGCCACCACGACTGCCCAAGGCTACCTCAAGCCGCATCCTGCTGGCCGTGTGGCTCGCGTTCTCTATCATTTTCGGAACGGCTTATCGTGGCAACCTCACCGCCTTTCTCACTCTGCCCAAGTACCCGCCTCGAGCTGAGACGCTCCAGCAGCTTGTTGCTGCTGCAGACAGGTAGTGTACACACATGATCACTGCTCTGAAGTACATGTCATATTTATTTAAAAACAAATCGTTATTTATGCCTGTAAATGTATATGTAGCTGTTATAGTATATCAGCTAACTATACAGGCACAGATACTTCTGTATTCTGACATTACAGAACATCCTGACGGAGGCCCCCCCCCAATATAGCATGTGTTACAGCAAACATGATTTTGGTTTTCCTAAGGGTAACCATGCCGCCATATGGAGAGGAATTCCAGAGGTTCTTCAAGCAGTCGGACTCTGTGGTGTTCAAGGCGCTGGCTGAGGTCATGCACTTCAACCCCAGCGTCACACAGGGGCTGCAGGCTGCCACAAGGAAGAGGTAGTGCGCTATAAATACTGGCTACAGTAACCTCACTAGAAACGATATTACCTTCAGTGCATTAATGACATTCCATATATACGTTATTAGCATGAAGTTTATATGAAACTTAACATTTTCTAATATTATATGTATCGAATATATTTTTTTTTATAATGTAGACAGGCTTACATGGGAGGCAGACGATACCTGCAGCAGAAGGTGGCAGAGCTGTTCACTGAGGCTGACGGCAGCACCACGCTCTACCTGGGCCGAGAGTCCATCTTCCCGGGGCCCTCCGGCTGGCCCATACCCCACGACGCCCCCTACAAGCAACACCTCGACCGCTGCATCATGGCTGCTCTTGAGGTGAACCTCTCGAGTCCCAGTACTCACCTAGTTGTGCTTCCGGGGGTTGAGCTCTGGCTCTTTCGTCCCCCTCTCAACTGTCAATCAACTGGTGTACAGATTCCTGAGCCTACTGGGCTCTATCATATCTACACTTGAAACTGTGTATGGAGTCAGCCTCCACCACAACACTGCCTAATGCATTCCATCTGTTAACAACTCTGACACTGAAAAAGTTCTTTCTAATGTCCCTATGGCTCATAAAGGGTACTCAGTTTCCACCTGTGTCCCCTTGTTCGCGTACCACCCGTGTTAAACAGTTTATCTTTGTCTACCCTGTCAATTCCTCGTGAGAATTTTGTAGGTAGTGATCATGTCTTCCAGCGTCGTGAGGTGCACTTCACGCAGCCTTTCCGCTTAATTCACGCCTCTTCGTTCTGGGACTAGCCTAGGCTTCTGTCTCTTTGTAAAGTTCTCTGTCTGCCGCTTGCTGTCTCTCTCTGAATTAAGAATTGCTCTTATGTAAATCAAAGTGTTTCCAAGAACGTCTTCGAGTCGAGTTTTTGCTCAATAATTAGTTTCACTGTTTCCATAACAAAATAAACGCAACAACTATGACCAAGGGCAGAAATAGTAGTACTAGCTTCTTCCGCAATCTAGAATGCGCTTAATGGCTTGGCGCTTTCCCCTGATTTTTTTATAGTAAGAATTATCTTCCTTCTGGTTCATAGATAAATGGTGATCGGCCACATGCATCTAGTAATATCTAGGGTTTTCCTGGAACTGTATCTGGCAGATAATCTAGATCGCCCCTGACAAACTGGTGTCATACAGCTTATTGCATTTTACTTTCAGTTAAAGAATGGAAATTTATCAAGAGAAAGCGTTAAGCTAGCATGAATATATAAAACATGGAAAGGACACCAATATTAGGACGGAGTGATAGAACTGAGACCAGGCCTTCGCTTCGGAAAGGTGACTGCTTTCAGGGAAATATATCTCTGTGTTATAGTTATTTCCTCTTCTAGGCTGGACTGTATGATAAGTGGAGCGACGACATGTTGGCCCAGGCGCGGCAGGAAAGCCGGCGGCGGGAGCACTTGGTCCAACAGCAGAAGCAGAAAGCAGCAGGGCAGGAACCAAGGTCTGACAGCAGCCTGAGGGCCCTCACCACCACACACCTGCAGGGAGCCTTCATGCTGCTCCTGCTGGGGCTCGCCCTCGCTGGGCTCTGCTTCGTCCTGGAGGTCCTGACGCTGATAGTCCACTGTGACAGGGGTTGAGGGTTGTTCTTTAGCAAAATACTTGGAGCTCTCTAACAAATGGAACACTAATCTGGTATCCTGATCTTGTGACTCAGTAGGAAGAGCTGTGGGATTCTGTTTTATGTGATCTGCGGTTCGAAGCTCGGATGGCCCAAGTGAATGAAATATTATTATCCACGATATGGTGGTTTATATATATATATATATATATATATATATATATATATATATATATATATATTGTGGGTGTAAAACATGAAGAAATTAACCCGTGATGAATAATGGTGAATTGCATAACCACAAAGGGGAAATTAAACAAGAAATGACTTGAATGTTTTCTTGTTAATCAACACATCTTTAAAAGTATAATCACTGAAATACAACCATAGAATATATAGGCAGGAAAAAGGTGACACAAGGTGGAAAAAACAGTATCTTTGTAATATTAGCTGATTAACATAAGAACAATAGGGAACGGCAGAAGGCCTAATGACCAATACATGTGAGTTCCCGGTAGCCATATCTCTACTGGGATAGTTTTCTATTGATCATATTACCAATATAATTGTTAATTGATCCATTAACAAATGATCCAAAGTGTACATACCATTACTAATATTCATATTGTGTGGCTTTGTAATGTGTGTTAAAGCAGATTCAATAATTTTTCTGTTATAAATACTTTTAAAAATTTTTATTGAAGAAGTCCACACTCAATTTGGTGAGAATTTTCTGAAATTCTCACCAAATTGATTAATAAATAGGGTTAGATATTTAGCCACTTCTTACTGAATATTTATGTTGCAAAATTCGAAACTTCAGATATCTGTATGTTTGAAATATATAGAATGTTTTATATCTTTGCAGGCTATTTTGTACATGACACAGGTAGAAACAGTTCTTAACTGTATGTAATCCTTTTGTAATTGCACGAATTTCTGAATACATATTCTGATCTATTTAGGTGGTTATAATATAAAATATATAAATAAATAATATATTGCCTGGGGTAAGAGTGCTGCTAGTTTTTTAAGGAGCTGAGTTCTAAGCTAATTGAAACAACTAGAGACCCTAGAGCCGCCAGTTTCCTTTTTCAGTGCCTTAGTGTGGCGATCCAGAGAGGAAATGCTCACTGCATCTACGGTTCCTGCCCCACAATCTGAGGTGCTGGAGGAACTCTACAACCTGTGACAAGTTTGGTGCCTTCTTTTGATAATTACAACCTGTGACAAGTAACCCATGTATTTTACCTCAATAAACTTATTTCAATTTCAATTCAGTAGGCTTGTACCTTGTATGTAACCAATGTTGTAACCCTTTTTGTGTAATGAAATTTTAAATAAAATAAAATGACAAAATATACATGTGTATATATATATATATATATATATATATATATATATATATATATATATATATATATATATATATATGTCGTACCTAATAGCCAGAACGCACTTCTCAGCCTACTATTCAAGGCCCGATTTGCCTAATAAGCCAAGTTTTCATGAATTAATGTTTTTTCGTCTACCTAACCTACCTAACCTAACCTAACCTAGCTTTTTTTGGCTACCTAACCTAACCTTACCTATAAATATAGGTTAGGTTAGGTTAGGTAGGGTTGGTTAGGTTCGGTCATATATCTACGTTAATTTTAACTCCAATAAAAAAAAATTGACCTCATACATAGAGAAAAGGGTTGCTTTATCATTTCATAAGAAAAAAATTATAGTAAATATATTAATTCAGGAAAACTTGGCTTATTAGGCAAATCGGGCCTTGAATAGTAGGCTGAGAAGTGAGTTCTGGCTACTAGGTACGACATATATATATATATATATATATATATATATATATATATATATATATATATGTCGTACCTAGTAGCCAGAACTCACTTCTCAGCCTACTATGCAAGGCCCGATTTGCCTAATAAGCCAAGTTTTCAGGAATTAATTGTTTTTCGACTACCTAACCTACCTAACCTAACTTAACCTAACTTTTTCGGCTACCTAACCAAACCTAACCTATAAGGATAGGTTAGGTTAGGTTAGGGAGGGTTGGATATGTTCTGTCATATATCTACGTTAATTTTAATTCCAGTAAAAAAAATTGACCTCATACATAATGAAATGGGTAGCTTTATCATTTCATAAGAAAAAAATTAGATGAAATATAATAATTCAGGAAAAATTGGCTTATTAGGCAAATCGGGCCTTGCATAGTAGTCCAAAAAGTGCGTTCTGGCTACTAGGTACGACATATATATATATATATATATATATATATATATATATATATATATATATATATATATATATATATATATATATATATATGTCGTACCTAGTAGCCAGAACGCACTTCTCAGCCTACTATACAAGGCCCGATTTGCCTAATAAGCCAAGTTTTCATGAATTAATTGTTTTTCGACTACCTAACCTACCTAACCTAACCTAACCTAACTTTTTCGGCTACCTAACCAAACCTAACCTATAAAGATAGGTTAGGTTAGGTTAGGTAGGGTTGGTTAGGTTCGGTCATATATTTACGTTAATTTTAACTTAAATAAACAAAATTGACCTCATACATAATGAAATAGGTAGCTTTATCATTTCATAAGAAAAAAATTTGAGAAAATATATTAATTCAGGAAAACTTGGCCTATTAGGCAAATTAAGCCTTGCATAGTAGGCCGAGAAGTGCGTTCTGGCTACTAGGTACGACATATATATATATATATATATATATATATATATATATATATGTCGTACCTAGTAGCCAGAACGCACTTTTTGGACTACTATGCAAGGCCCGATTTGCCTAATAAGCCAATTTTTCCTGAATTAATGGTTTTTCGACTACCTAACCTAACTTTTTCGGCTACCTAACCTATAAAGATAGGTTAGGTTAGATAGGGTTGGTTAGGTTCGGTCATATATCTACGTTAATTTTAACTCCAATAAAAAAAATTTACCTCATACATAATGAAATGGGTAGCTTTATCTTTTCATAAGAAAATAATAGAGAAAATATAATAATTCAGGAAAACTTGGCTTATTAGGCAAATCGGGCCTTGCATAGTAGGCCGAGAAGTGCATTCTGGCTACTAGGTACGACATGTCGTACCTAGTAGCCAGAACGCACTTCTCAGCCTACTATGCAAGGCCCGATTTGCCTAATAAGCCAAGTTTTCATGAATTAATTGTTTTTCGACTACCTAACCTAACCTAACTTTTCCGGCTACCTAACCTAACCTAACCTATAAAGATAGGTTAGGTAGGGTTGGTTAGGTTCGGTCATATATCTACGTTAATTTTAACTCCAATAAAAAAAAATTGATCTCATACATAATGAAATGGGTAGCTTTATCATTTCTTACGAAAAAAATTAGAAAAAATATTAATTCAGGAAAACTTGGCTTATTAGGCAAATCGGGCCTTGCATAGTAGGCTGAGAAGTGCGTTCTGGCTACTAGGTACGACATATATATATATATATATATATATATATATATATATATATATATATATATATATATATATATATATATATATATATATATATATATATATATATATATATATATATTTAACAATAATTATAATGTGTCATACATAAGTGTGATCGATGTTATTAAAATAGCCTAAGCTACTCTATCCCTTTGAGATGTATTTTTTTTCTTGCCTCAATAAAATTACTTGAACTTGTTATTGAGAAAATAATATATAACCTAAAGGGCAGTTCGCACACACAATAGTGATGTTCAGTCAACACCGTGACAGATGGTGATGTACGATAATTCGCAGCGGCGGAGTACTTAACGAACTACGCTAGAATCAAATAATTCTAGCAACATAAACATTTGATTATGTTGTTTATATAATTCTGACATGTTGCATTTTCAAAGTAATATTTCAGTTTACCAACATGGTAGAACTGGTAAATAAACAACTTTGTTTATGGTAAATCTTAGGCTGTAGAATGTCAACAACTCCGGACGTGTTGTTGGGCGACGCGCATCATGCCAAGACGATGATTGTGCAGTGTGCTGTGCGCCTTGGGAGACGCTTGTAAAGGAGGACTTGTTCACACGCGCTTAACAACTCTACAACTGTACGCCATGCAATTAGTCGACATGTTAGTAGTGGCAATTGTAGTTTGTTGAGATTGAAGTAGAATGTAGAGGCCATACTGGGCATTACCAGTCACTGCACACCTGAAGGGCTCTCGTTGTGTTAATGTAGGCTACAGCACGTGCTACAGCAGGTACCCTCACCCGAGACATGATCTTAGTACTGGAAAAAAAGAATGAACTGTTGAGCAAACATCAATTCCTAAACTGACACTGCTGTAAATAAGAGAGGTTGTTGCCTCAGCAAAGCAGACAAAAATGTGTGTACCTTTGCATTAGCTGTGGAAGATATACAAAACTAATAATAAACAATTTTAACTAATTTATTTATTTTCTTTAAGTATTACTTGGTTTGTCAATAAGCTATTTACTTGTCTGGAATCAGCCACTTGCTGCTCGCTGCCTTCAGTGACAGAGGGTCGTGGGGGGGGAGCGGGGTAAGAATAATGGTAGTCAATTTTTTACTGGCTATGAGGAGTGGTATTAAATCCCGAGCCCAGAGTGGAGGCGTCACAACGTTATCAAGGTTCCGGTGATCAGCAAGGCCTACACTCGTGGTGAAATACACCGAGGTTCACCTTACTCTGTGTATGTATACACCGTGAGTTTGACTTATTTGATGTTTGCAAAATATTCATACCTATGAATTAAATGACGAATGGTGGTAATTTAGGAGGCGCTTGTGGTGAAAATGTGAGCTGTGGTGACATGTTGGTGCTGCCCTGTGTTCATGCTGTGGTGACATGCTGGTGCTGCCCCGTGTTCATGCTGTGTTGACATGCTGGTGCTGCCCTGTGTTCTTGCTGTGTTGACATGCTGGTGCTGCCCTGTGTTCATGCTGTGTTGACATGTTGGTGCTGCCCTCTGTGTTCATGCTTAACAACGGAGACATGAAGCTTGTACTTAAGCTAATCGAGGTGCCCCATTGGCCAAATACTGACCTTCCTCTGGATGCGATCCACAACAGTTACCAAACTTCCGAGTACCTATTTTTAATGCTAGGTGAACAGAGGCGTTAGGTGGAAGAAAACGTGCATAATCGTTTTTTTCTGTC